TGGGCATACAATTATATCAGGGGATTTTATATATCTATGTAAACTTTGTTAAAAATCTTTCTTAAGGTAAATTTCATGGAAAATTGATGAACATACTGATAATATAATAAAGATCACCTTTTTTCTGTAGCAAAATCCGCAAGTCCCTTTTATGAAGAAACCACACTTTGAATATAATCAATTTTCAAAATAAAAAACATAAATATTAAAATTATTGTTGATGATATAAAGTTTTGAATTAGACAGCCATCTCATTAAAATGAAAGTTCACTAAAAACTACAGATTTACAAAAATTTATTTTTAAATTTTCTTCTTGTTTAGAAGGTTATTAAGAAGTAGAAATAATTTAATAAAATATTTTTGTGAATCTCTGTTATTAATGTCTGTAATTTTTCCACAATTATGGGCAATTTGGCACAGTAAAATTATTTCTGGTATAGATGTCGATAGTGGTTAATAGATGTACATTATAGTGTGGTAAGGTACTTTATTCATTATATTATAATCTTTAAGAGATATTAATCACATTAAACTAAAGTAAAATTTACGTTAAATTGGAATTTTAAATGTTTTCAACCATGGAGAGCTATTGAGAAGTACCAAAATGTTTTGAATTTTAACAGATGTGTTTCTGGATAAACTTGTACTAGGGGAGCTAGGAGATCACAAAGTCGTAGTCTCTGTGTGTCCGATCATAAGTCATGAACCCCTTGACCGATTCGCCTCAAATTTAAACTGGGAAACTCGGGAAAACCACGGGAATGTTCTTAGTTTATTTTTGTAATTGTAAGTTGAGTGGACTGACTTTTATAGGAAATATAGTCCAGACAAAGCTGGGTTCCAAGCTAGTATATCTATATATAAATTTGGCTTGTCTGTTTGTCTGTCTGTTTGTCTGTTTGTATCCAATAAACGTCAAAACGGCTGAACCGATCGGGCCCAAATTTTTTGTGGGACATCTAGGGACCCCAGGGAAGGTTTATGAATGATTGAAATTTTAAATATTTGTCTCCATCAAAATTCGATCGTCATTAAATTTTTTAAAATTTTGAAAATCCGCGAATTATTTTTGTTTTGTTTTACGATGTACACAAAGAGAACATGTTCACAATTAATTTAGGAGATGGGCGCGAAGCGCCCTCTAAGGCTAGAAAGAAGGGCGCGAAGCGCCTTGAATTTCTAGTAATATATATATTTATATATATGGTAGTTGGAATTAATAAATCTAATTTGGGAATTTTCTTCATTTTAATTTCAAACTTAGTTTAGAAAATCTGCCAAGTTTTTAATCAAGAATTCTGATGAAAAATCTAGCCTGGCATTTTGAAGAATTGAAGAATACATATATTAAAGGGACTATAGGTGTAACTTTAAATAACCCTCCCTTTAAAAAAGGGGACATGCCCGATTTACAACAGTACCCTCGAAACATTAATCTGACTGAGAAACAATGACGAAGATGTTCTCTTTTTCTTTTTTGAAATCCTTCAAATTACTTTTACAGAGAAACCACAATCCGAAAGAATCAAATTTTAGCTAGAAAAACAAGAATATCTTTGATAAGCCAAAGCTAGGTTTAAAGGGTACAATTGTGAAGCAGACATCCCACTCTATAAATGAAGGGTAATTAAGTATAGAACAAAATCTGTAGATTGTAACAATATCAAGCAATGGTAGATATTACTTGTTAAAATACACCTACAGGGTGTCCCAAAAACTCTCCTGGAGGTAGTCCGGCTCTCATCATGTTTGGATTTTTTTTATATTAATGGACATTTTTAAAATCTTTAAAATCTTCGAAATCAATAAACATCAAAAAGAATGAAAGTTACTGCCAGTTATAAGCCTGCCATCTTATCTTGGGGCCTGAAAACCCCCTGAAATCCATTGTTTTCTCGGTTCCGGTAGGGGGTGGTGGCTAAGCCACTTACCCCCACCCCCTGACTACACCTCTGATATAAAAGATAAAACGATTTTTGAGTTTTGGACAAGATATATCTGGTCGACATGTATATTGTTTCCCTTCAGGGCTTGCTAAATTTGTTTGTTATCTTTATGAACAGAGTCGGCTCAAACATTTTCTAAATAATTTTCAATAAATGTTATGAAGATTTTGTTGAAAATGTCCAAAAATATAAAAAATTAACCATGATGAGAGCTGCAATACCTTTTGTCGTATGATATGATTTGTGAATCCAAAAGAACAATGTTGGACTTATTAAAGGCATTTAATTCTTGCCATGTTTTACTCCAAGATATCTTCCTTGACAACTATAAATGTTATTCATCAGATTTTAAGACCTGCGTTGACTTTGAAGTGTCGCAAAAACTGGGGATTTTTTGTTTTACTTCAACAACTTTCTTATACTTTTTTGCAGCCTGGACATATGCATTTTAAAAGCGCCATTTTCTTGTTTCTTGCGTAAAGGTAAAAAGAATTTTTGGAAAAAATCCTGTTAAATTTTTGCTTTAGAGCTTGATTTTTTTGGTTTTTATCTTGTTAATCTAAATAAAGGGAACTGATTACTCGAGTCACTAACTTTATCTATTTAAGAAAGCTCTACGCTCATATATCTACATTTATGTTATCTAATGAAAATATAAATATAAACGTCTAATTTAAACCTAATGTTGTAAACCATGTGGTATTTCAAACTTTGACTTTTTGAGCTTGCAGAATTCATATTTTGACATATCAAAAGTACGACATCATGTTAGGAAGATTTGAAATTAGATTTTTTGGCGAGTAATTTACATACTATTACAAAAAGACATCAGTTTTCATCTTTATTTTAGGGTCTGGAGAACATAGTTTCTTTAGAGCTACAGAGTCTTCAACCATTACAGACATTTCAAATAGAAATAAACAGGGTTAAAGTAATCATATTGTGTAGACTCACGCACCCCTAACCCTTTAGTAAAAGTAAATTCAACCTAAAGTCTGACCATGTCAACCTTGTTGCACCAGCTAGTCCTATTGAGTGTCTTCTTCATTTACCCAATGTCCGGGCGAAACAGTACAATCTGTGACCGGGAAGTTTGACCCGGCTCGGAAATTCAAATGTACTATGGCTGCCCGTGTACGGTACCTTATCTCTTCCCCTTTTTAGATGTTTCATAAGTTCTAAGTCTTTATTGAAAAGATGAAAGGGGCGTTGACGGGGGNTTTCCCTATAGCATCCCCCGCCACCCATTAGTGTCCACACAAAAAATCATATATCATGTCTTGCTTTATTATATAGATAATTGTTGTTTTAAAGTAATCTAACAAAGGAATATATATATATTTATATTGCATTTTTAAAATATATAATTTTAGACAAAATAAAATACTAATTCTAACTGAATATAGACTTGTCCAACCATATCATTCTTGATGTTTCTACTAGACTTGACCATTAGCAAAGGGTTTTAACCCGTTTTATTGACTGTAGTATATCTCTACAAAGGAACTGAGTCTTTACCACAAATTCAGATTTTCTAATCCCTATATCTTTGCACCCTTTTGTTGTAAACCTTTGCTATTTCTAACTTGGATTATTATATCTAACAGAATTCATAATTTGAAATATCTAATGTTTACGACATTGGTATGCATAAAATCTGAGTTTGTGGCAAATACTCAATTCCTTCGTATACTGAAATGATATGATACAGAGGCTGACCAATGAAATGCTACATTGGTCGGTTTGTATACCAATTAATTATTAATGTAATTAATGTAATATATCACTATTACAGTAACCGATACTGTATTGATATATTTGCAGACCACTGTAGATAAAAGCATTGGTTAGGAAATTAATTTATAGGGGTTAGATAAGGATGTTAAAAGGGTTTAAAAATGAAATGTTTCGAATATGGATTAAAATAATGATTTTGAATTTGTATTTCATAATATTGAAAATTAACAATTTTTTAGATAAAAAATAAAATAATAATAATGTGAGAACCAGAAACTGCAGAATTAATGTTTTTGTTCTTTATTTTAAGAATTACAGTTGAGAAATTTAAAATTTATCTCAATTTAGTATGTTCAGAGTGCTTTTTAAAAAATAGTTCATTTTCAATTTTCCTTTTTTAAAGAGAAATATTTTTTAGCATCCAAAAACCTTCTATTTTCTGTTCGTATTGTTGATAAATAGATATTCTGGAGAGGAATAATTGATTGTATCATGATTATAGGATGGAGGTTTCTCACACTCCTTCATTATTCTTATTCATATCCTTGTCTCATTCTATACCTGGAGCTGGAACTCTTACTCATATCTTTGTTTAATTCTATACCTGGAGCTGGAACTCTTACTCATATCCTTGTTTTATTCTTTACCTGGAGCTGGAACTCTTACTCATATCCTTGTTTTATTCTTTACCTGGAGCTGGAACTCTTACTCATATCCTTGTCTAATTCTATACCTTGAGCTGGAACTCTTACTCATATCCTTGATTAATTCTTTACCTGGAGCTAGAACTCTTACTCATATCCTTGTCTAATTCTATACCTGGAACTGGAACTCTTCAACATATCCTTGTTTAATTCTATACCTAAAGCTGGAACTCTTACTCATATCCTTGTCTAATTCTATACCTGGAAATTGAACTCTTCAACATATCCTTGATTAATTCTATACCTGAAGCTGAAACTCTTACTCAATATCCTTGATTAATTCTATACCTGGAGCTAGAACTCTTACTCATATCCTTGATTAATTCTATACCTGGAGCTGGAACTCTTCAACATATCCTTGTTTAATTTTATACCTGGAGCTGGAACTCTTCAACATATCTTTGTTTAATTCTATACCTGGAGCTAGAACTCTTACTCATATCCTTGATTAATTCTATACCTGGAGCTGGAACTCTTACTCATATCCTTGATTAATTCTATACCTGGAGCTGGAACTACTCAACCAGGTTGAAAAGATACAAGAATTAGAAAATCAGAGTTTGTGGTGGGTCATCTATGAATGTATTTTCAGATGAACAAACATTGAAAAAAATGGCTCCAAGAGATGAGAATATTGTAGACAAGATATTTGCTGGATCTTTAGATGATCTGCCTCCTCTCAGCTCTAAAGTAAGAATTTATAAATATCAGAAGAAACTGCGAGTCCTTGTTTCATTCACAATGGTACCCATTAAATATCTATCTTTCTATCTTGTTTTCAAATATTGATACACCACAAAAGAAAATAATCATTATACTAGAGAAAAGAAGAATATTAATCCATTAACTGGCGGGTCACTATTAATTAAATCTTTTTCGTCTTGTAATCATGTAATTATGAACAATAAAATCTATGTTCAGATATACCTCCGGGTTCTTATGAACAATGAACATAATGTTCAGATATACTTCTGGGCTCTTATGAACAATACGCTATGTTCAGATATGCTACTAGGTTCTGATGAACTATAAACGCTATGTTCAGATATACATCTGGGTTTTTTTGAACAATAATATTATGTTCAGATATACTTTTGGGTGCATAGTAACAATGGACATAATGTTCAGATATACTGCTGGGTTCTTATGAACAATAAAATTATGTTCAGATATACTTCTGGGCTCTTATGAACATTGAACATTTTGATATAAAAGCATATGTTGCGGAGTAAAAGTGTTAAAATCTAAAAATTTATGTTAGGTCTCTACTGTATAAAATCCACAAGTAATTTTTATAGAAAATCCACGATTTAGAATTATCCATTTCTTGAAAAACAAGAATATTTCTAACATTTTCGCTCAAACTAAGGTTTAAGGGGTATCATTGTCAATCGGACAGAACCCTTGTTAAAAAATACGTCACCCAAATATTTTACTAATAAAAAGTTTGCTTTTAAATGAATGGAATTCTTTGTTTCTGCAATTTTCTATCTATTTTTATTAATAAATCATGTTTCAAAATGTTGTTTTTCTATCTTCTTAAGTTGTTTTTCTCTGGAATTAAATTAAGTTTTTATAATAAAACCAGGTCCTGTATATATATATATTAAAATGCTACTGGGCAGAAAAATTAACATAAATGACCCAAATAGAAAACATATGGCCAATAGAGTTATTATTTCAAACGATATTTAAAAACTGATAATTTGCCAATATAAAAGAGCTTTAAATATGTAAAAAGTTCTATAAAAGTGCTTTAGATTCATATATAAAAGTTCTATAAATGATGTAAATATTGAAAAGGAAATGACAGGTTCAATTGCATTAGTTTATATTAATTGTGTGATACTACGATTGGAATTAAATTTAGTCATTTAATCCTCCTTGCTAGGCCATCAATCCAATTGATATCAATAATACCAAAAATAAAATATTACTTATTGCCGCTCACAATGGTTTTCTTATTTTTTAAGTATAGCACATATATTTTAGATGAAAGGAATTTATTTTTGCCACGAACTAAAATGTTCTAAGCCCTTTATCTTTGCAATCTGATGGTGTAAAGCTTTTATATTTCAAACCTATATTATCTAATGGCATAGTTTAAAAAATCAAAGATCTACGACATTGGGTTAAAAAAACTCAACCTGGATATATTTCAGAATATTTACTATAGTTCAACCTGGATATATTTCAGGATATTTACTATAGTTCAACCTGGATATATTTCAGGATATTCAATATAGTTCATTCTGGATATATTTCAGGATATTCACTATAGTTCAACCTGAGCTGAAAACTTTAGAATGGTGGATATCAGGATTAAGGCTTAAACCGCTCTTTTTCTTAATATCCAGTTTAAATATTGCTTGTTCTCCACATGAATTTAAACTCCAGAGAATTGGAACAATTGGAATTTAAGATATCCCATTCTAAAGTTTTCAGCTCTGGATATATATCAGGATATTCACTATAGTTCAATCCTGATATATTTCAGGATATTCACTATAGTTCAACCTGGATATATATCAGGATATTAACTATAGTTCAACCTGGATATATTTCAGGATATTCACTACAGTTCAACCTGGATATATTTCAGGATATTCACTATAGTTCAACCTCGATATATTTCAAGATATTCACTATAGTCCAAACTGCATATATTTCAGGATATTAAATAGTTCAATCTGGATATATTTCAGGATATTCACTATAATTTAACCCGGATATGTTTCAGGATATTCACTATAGTTCAACCTGGATATATTTCAGGATATTCACTATAGTTCAACCTGGATATATTTCAGGATATTAAATAGTTCAACCTGGATATATTTCAGGATATTAAATAGTTCAATCTGGAAATATTTCAGGATATTCACTATAGTTCAACCTGGATATATTTCAGGATATTCACTATAATTCATCCCGGATATATTTCAGGATATTCACTATAGTTCCACCTGGATATATTTCAGGATATTCACTATAGTTCAATCCGGATATATTTCAGGATATTCACTATAGTTTAACCAGTATATATTTCAGGATATTCACTATAGTTCAACCCGGATATATTTCAGGATATTCACTATAGTTCAACCAGGATATATTTCAGGATATTCACTATAGTTCAACCCGGATATATTTCAGGATATTCACTATAGTTCAACCTGGATATATTTCAGGATATTCACTATGGTTCAATCCGGATATATTTCAACCTAGATATATTTCAGGTGGTCAGGATATATTTCAGGATATTCAATATAGTTCAACCTGGATATATTTCAGGTTGTCAGGATATTTACTAGTTCAACCTTTACGGATATGCTGATGGAGCGAAACACACTGATGGAGTGGGTCTACCCCAAAATTAAGGACTACTGCAAGGAGAGGCACGGACTGGAGTTCCAGGTTGTTGACATGAGATGGGGGGTCAGGGACGAGATGACGAACGAGCATATGACCACCGCTCTCTGCATGAACGAGTTGAGCGGATGCCAGAAGTACAGCATGGGCCCAAACTTCATATATTTCGGAGGTCAGAAGTACGGCTACCGACCTATACCCTCGGAGATTCCAACGAACGAACTGACAAAGTTGACCGCTGTGCTGGAAACTATGGGTAATGATGTTACACTGCTGAAGAAATGGTATAGAAAAGATACTAATAAGGTAAGTTTTTAAACCTGACTGACTAAACTTACACAATAAAAACATCAACAGTTAAAGTTGTGTGTTAGCCACGATGCAGAAAATATTTTGATTGAGAAAAGTGTCATAAATGAAACTTCTCTCTAACATCCTAAAATATAAAATTAAAAAGGGGCCTAGGGCTTAAAAATTTCCCTTCCCCCTCCCTTTTGATGATATGTAATATATACAAAGCACATTTCTGGTCGGTGTGTAAATGAAAGGTATATTATTTATACTCTCTTCAAGTATCTGGTTTTGATTGATTAAACTTATCTCTAGGTTCCGCCGGAATCCATCTTGCTTCCGATCACTACTCATCTCCCGCATTTTCTTAACAAACGGATGCCAAAACTCCAGGCACGTGACTCTGGGATATGGTAAGACGACATTTTTAATTTAACTAAATCAGTTTCTTTGCAAATACTCTGAAGATTGGCTCCGACTGTAAACTACACTTTTCCAATTGCAAGAAAGAATAATAAAAAACACAATAAAGTTGAGATTTGGAAATCTTTTCTTTACAGTTTTTGTCATGTACACTGTAACATTATGTAATTAAGAAAGTTATTGAAGATTTAAAAATTGTCACAAGTAATCGAGAATTCTGTCTAGTAGAGTGTTTAATAATGTTTAATATCAAATTTAACATTGTGCACTCTGGGTCATCTGTAAAGACAATTCAGTTTCACATATTACCATCGCAGGAAGCTAAGTTATTTCTTAAAACGTGTTTTTACTGATTACAAGTCAAAAACTATTATTTTCTTATATCTATAGTTTTGCTACCTTGATGTATGGTGTAAACCTTTGACATTTTAAACTTTGACTATATTGTGCTCGCAGTGATCATAATTTAAATTATTAAAGGTATACGGCATAGGTTGTAAAGATTATAGATTAGAAAAATAGATTTTGTGGCGGGTAATCACTTCATTTAGTGTAAAATAGAAATAAAACAAAATGAACAAAAATCTATAGTTTTGCAACCTTGATGTATGACAGAATCTACTCTAGGTGGGGAACCTTATCAAAGCTACAGCTTATGCTTAGAAAAGCTTCCCAGGTAATTATAATGTAATACCTGACAAAACTTTAATTTAAAATATATATAATTTATGGCATTGCATTTAAACATTAAATTTTTTACTCTTCTTTAAAGTTAGTTTAACCCTGAAATGGAAACCATGAATGAAATTTTCAGGGTGTTCATTTCGAATTTTATCCCACTCTTAATAATAAAAAATTAATCATTTTCAACCGTTAAATAGTATACAATGGTAAACAAAGCATCTTTTTTTAAATATATAAATGATGAGCATTCTCTTAAGAAATATATCTGGTTAGAAATAAAATAAATCTTAGAAAATAAAGTATCTTCATGAAAAGCTTGACAGGGTTTCAATTTTAGACTTAAACCAGATCTACAGAAGTGTTTACTTCTTTTTTTAAATCAAAGAATCTATACATATAAAGTTGTAATCTCTGTTTGTTTGTTTGTCCGATCATAGCTCAGGAAGCCCTGGACCGATTTGCCTCAAATTTTGATTGGGGAATTCGGGATACTCACCCGGGAATGTTATTAGCTTGGTTTTGAGATTCAAAATTGAGTGTGTTGATTTTAACAGCGAAAATTTAGTTTACCGGTAAAACCGTTTCAGTGCGGGTAAACGGCGGGAGTAACTTTTAGTAACCTTGGTTCCTATAAGCTAGTATTTAAATAAAATATTGTGCAAACATTTAATTTTAAGGCGTTGTATGCAAATGAGGAATTTACCCTGGAGGAGATGCACAACTATAGGATGGCAGTAACAGAGAGGGAAGTCATTAACGGATGTCTTAATGTCGACAATGTAAGTAACAAGTCAGTGGTCTTGAAGGTCATCAACGGTTGTCTGAACAAGAAATGTGTTAGGAACAGATCATAAAGAGGGAGTTAATAAATGGATGTTTTAAGCTAGGTTCAAATGTAATGTGAACTAGTGAGGATTCACAATAGTAAATATTTATAGTACAGTTTAATGCTCCCAAGTGAGCCTAACAACCCAAGCCAAGCGCTAAAGGGTATTGAACCCTTGATAGGTTTCTAGCCTTACAATCCGACAAGCCATGCGCCAAAGGGTATTGAACCCTTATCAAGTTTAGCTGCAATTGGGATTGGGAAGAGCTAGACACGAATCTAAACTGGAGAAGAGGAATCTAACAGTACTCTAGGCCGAGGTAGACAGGAGCATGATCTGCCATGTTGTACCCCAGATCAAGCTAGTTTTCATTAAGTATCGAATTAGAAGAATCTGATAGAAATATATTCGCTGCAGGCGAATGTTGTGTTACACAAGATCCAACTTTTGATCAACAGTTTGTATAGTTAACATGTAAATGACAGGTCGACGTCAATTAACAGTTGTCTGTAAATAACAGGGTGGTGGTGATAGAGAGGGAGGTCATCTATGGTTGTCTGGAATTTATATATATAAGGACCAGGATGTCAGTGAGAGAGAGTGGGTTCATGTCTAATAACAGGATGTCAATAACAAAAATGGAATTCATTGATCAACGGATGTCTTTACGTCAAAAATGTAAATAACAGGACATTAAGGACAGTAAGGGAAGGTCATCAATGAATGTGCTGAAGTTAATTCTTTCAATAACAGGATAACAGTGACAAAAAATGATGTATTCACCCTATGCCATAATGTCGATTAAAATGTGACAAGAAAAATGATTAATTTCCCCAATATGTTACGTTACTAACATTTTTCTGGAAATGGGTCAATAAAAAGTGAAAAATTCGCAATTTTATCTCCCCCTCCCCCTGAATTGTGTATCCTGGATCTATTTTATTGCAAAATGTCAGAATACAATGAAAAATAGAATGATGGAAGTGAAGGTATGAATTAGGAAATTAGATTATGGTCAGCTGGGAGAACAGAAATATGAAAGTTTATAAATTTAAAGTTTAATAAAACTTTTCTGTTTTCTGGCGAGATCCCGTGGAAACCCAACAGCTCAGCAAAGTTAAATTTATACCATTTAAACGTCAAGGTTTCAAACAACGACAAAAAAACATACTCTCCAAAAAATGAAATATGGAATTTATTTAGTAAATTGTAAATATTTATAATTAAAAAAAAATTGTGACAATTTTTAGTCCTCGAGTATCTATTAAGTGGAGGATCATATGATCAATGATCATCTTTAATCCTTGAATATCTGGGTAAAGGATCATGTGATCATCTTTAATCCTTGAATATCTAGGTAAAGGATCATGTGATCATCTTTAATCCTTGAATATCTAGGTAAAGGATCATGTGATCATCTATACAAGAATCCTTCAAAACATAAATATCCAGAATCTAAAACGAGCTTCAGCTTTTATAGATATTCAAGACAGGTGAATGTTTGAAATAATTTAATATTATTAAATTTGCAAAAAAGTTAAATTAAAAAGTAATCGTGAAGGACATATCTAAAAATATTAGTAAATCTTCTTCTAATTTCATTTATTTCAAAATCTATATAATAAAAGAAGACATTCGTATATATATATTTGTTGCGTTTAGCCGGCCAAAGGGCTGAACCGATTGGGCTGAATTTTTTGTGGACACTCATGGGTGGCCGGGGGTGATATATTTTTTTTTCTTCAATAATTATTTTCTTTTCAAATTTTTTTTTATTTTGTTTCCATTGGCGACGCCGGTCACTTCAGTTAGTATGAAATCAGAAACGTAAACGAATTTATATTTTGATCTCATGCAATTTACAGATGTATATATGTGCAGTTTTTTCCTATTCACAACGGGACCCTTTCAATCTTTGTCTGATCAAGGATCAATGAAATGTCCTTTTTTTTACCAAAAAAAGATTAGATTTTACTGTAGTTCCCTATAAAAAGGCGAGTTTAAACTACATAAACAATGAGGAAAATTGTCAGAATTTATCATGCTTTAAGATAAAAACGACATTTAGTTCTTTATTAATACTTAAATAGAGGTTTAAAGGGTTCCCGTCTTTAGAGTTTCATTCTGTGTGGGTATCCCTGAACCATGGTTTATCCCTGTACCATGGTTTAACCCTGTACCATGGTTTAACCCTGTACCATGGTTTATCCCTGTACCACCATGGTTTAACCCTGTACCATGGTTTATCCCTGTACCATGGTTTATCCCTGTACCATGGTTTATCCCTGTACCATGGTTTATCCCTGTACCATGGTTTATCCCTGTACCATGGTTTATCCCTGTACCATGGTTTAACCCTGTACCATGGTTTATCCCTGTACCATGGTTTATCCCTGTACCATGGTTTGTCCTTGTACCATGGTTTAGCCCTGTACCATGGTTTAACCCTGTACCATGGTTTATCCCTGTACCATGGTTTAGCCCTGTACCATGGTTTAACCCAAATTATGAAAGGCAAAAAACTTATTTTCCCAATTTATTCAAAGGTTGTAAAGACGCTACTCACAGAGATGATATTCAATTTTAGACATATTGATGAGGAAGCTCATACCCTACTCACAGAGATAATATTCCATTTTAGACATATTGATACCTACTCATAGACTACAGAGATAATATTCCAATTTAGACATATTGATAAGGAGGCTCAGACCCTACTCACAGATTACAGAGATAATATTCCACTTTAGACATATTGATAAGGAAGCTCTCAGACCCTACTCACAGATTACAGAGATAATATTCCAATTTAGACATATTGATAAGGAGACTCAGACCTTACTCATAAATTACAGAGATAATATTCCATTTTAGACATATTGATAAGGAGGCTCAGACCTTAATCCCAGATTACAGAGATAATATTCCAATTTAGACATATTGATAAGGAGGCTCAGACCCTACTCATAGATTACAGAGATAATATTCCATTTTAGACATATTGACAAGGAGGCTCAGACCCTACTCACAGATTACAGAGATAATATTCCACTTTAGACATATTGATAAGGAGGCTCAGACACTACTCACAGATTACAGAGATAATATTCCATTTTAGACATATTGATAAGGAGGCTCAGACACTACTCACAGATTACAGAGATAATATTCAATTTAGACATATTGATAAGGAGGCTCAGACACTACTCATAGATTACAGAGATAATATTCCATTTTAGACATATTGATAAGGAGGCTCAGACACTACTCACAGATTACAGAGATAATAGAGCCAGACAAAAGATGATTGATAACAAGGGAATATATCAGAGGTAACACTAGTAAAATATGTTTAAAGGGAGTGACCAGCTAGACAAGGTAGTTGAGCTGAGAGTGTAGTATTATAGAAAATGTTTTAGGATGCATTTGATGCCAAACAAACGTTTTTATGGAGCAAATTTGCCAAGTATGAGCGCAAAATTGATCTTTAACTTTTGAAGGATAGATTTTGGAAAAAAAAATTTTAAATTATTCAAGAACAATGGCGAAAAAAGTTTAAATATTATTTATTATTATAAACTATATAATTTTAGTAAATTAGTTCTAATTGATTTAAAATATCTGTTTGAATAGTAGAGCCTGAATAATGAAACAACTTGCTTTTATAATAAATTCCAGGTATGAAATAGAGTGGATAGGACGTGAAGGATTAGCTCCGGAAACCCACAATGAATACCTGAACTCCTTTATCAATCACTTCTACAAGAATGTACTCAAGCTTGTTGACCGGGCTATGAAGAAAGAGGATAATAGTGAGCAGGGGAAGATTGTGACAGAGCTTTTACAACACCTACATGGTTGCAAAAACAACTGTGATGTCTTTTTTGGCAGAACGGAAGACCTTGCTAAAATGAAAGATTATGTAACAGGTCCCTCAACCAAGCCCTTTGTTATGTTTGGTGCTGGTGGTTCTGGAAAATCATCTTTATTGAGCATGACAGCATACAAGGCTATTAATGAATGGTTAGTTCCAGCTAAGCCATTGCTCCTAATCAGATTTTGCGGGACTACTCCCAATTCTACATCTTTAGGTCCATTGTTGAAATCTATATGTCAACAATTATCATATACATTTCTGCTACCCTTCCAGGATATTCCAGATGACACAAATCCTGTCACCGCTTTCCTCAAAGAACTTCTCTGTCTTGCAACCAAGGAAAGACCTCTGCTAATATTCTTTGACTCTATAGATGAGTTGACAGGTGCCCAAGATTCCAATAGGCTGTCCTGGCTACCAATCAAATTACCCCCCTACTGCAAATTTATAGTTTCCATAACGGTTGAAGAAAGGAAACCTGAGACCTTTGAAAATCTGAATAGTCTGAAAGAGTTAATTGAGGATGAAAGCCACTTTCTTGAGGTTACAGCACTTGGTAAGGATCTAGCCTGGACAATCATGAAATTGTGGATGAAAACAGCTGGCCGGGATTTAACCAATTATCAATGGAGAGTTGTAGCTAATGCATTTGATTTTTGCACATTGCCAATATTTTGTAAACTGGTGTTTCAAGAGGTTTGCAGATGGAAGAGTTACTTTGAACCTGAAAAAACTGTTCTAAGGAACACAGTAATGGACAGTGTTTTCCAACTATTTGAGCGAGTTGAGAATAAACATGGTTGGATGTTGGTATCACATGCTCTTTCTTACATCACTGCTTCCAAAAATGGGGTTTCTGAACCAGAAATTGAAGATTTCATTTCTTTGGACGACAAAGTTCTTGATGATATCTACCAATACCACTTACCCCCTACTAGAAGGATTCCACCACTGCTATGGACAAGAGTTAGAAGTGATCTTCCTGGATATTTAGCAGACAGTGAAGCAGATGGAGTATGTGTCATAAACTGGTACCATAAACAGTTTAAAATGGCGGCTAAAGAAAGATACTTTACAACAGATGAAGATTATTTGTATTTCCACTCCTACATGGCTGACTATTTCCTTGGTACATACGGAGGTGGTATCAATAAACCATTCCGATACACTGAGATTCAGAAGCATATGTTCAGATTAAAGAGCAAAGATTCAACAGCTGATAGACAGGTTCCAGCTCAGCCATTGGCATTCTACAACAAGCAAGGAAAGCTTACAAGATACAACCTGAGGAAGTTCAGTGAATTACCCTTCCAGCTGGTTAGGTGCTACAGGTATAAGGATTTGTATGACCATGTTCTCTTCAACTACAGATGGCTGTTTACTAAAATGAGCGCTCTACCGCTGAATGAAATATTGGGAGATTTTGAAGATGCCGTCCAAAATATCAGGGATCCAGTAGCGGTTAAAGAAATAAATCTGGTGGCAGACTCTATAAGATTAGGTGGAGCAATTCTTAAACACTATCCTGAAATGTTAGCATCCCAACTTCTTGGAAGATTATTGCCAGAAAGATCTAGTTCAAGGAACATCCAAAGTCTACTTCGTCAGTGTGACGAAGAAGGATCTAAGCACAATGCACTTGTCCCAACCTTCCACTGCATGCATACTCCCGGGGGACCTTTAAAGTATGCAATGGAAGGACACCAGTTTGCCATATTTGCAATGAAACTGACATCAGATAACAGGTATATAGTTTCAGTTTCTAATAAGTTTATCACCTTTGATGTTGTGACAAGTGACCTGGCAAGACAAGTTTATCCAGGGGTTGAAGGATTAATGATTGATCTAGAACTCTCTGCTGATAACAAGTTTGCTGCTGCATTTACCAATAATAATCAAACTATTCTACTCAATACTCTTATAGGAGAATTTGTTGTCATTGAAAATCCATTTGTCAAAGATGGCACTGTACAAGAAACAATCCAAAATGTTATTTTAGCTGACGGACGTCTTGTAATTGTTGGCCAGCATTCATGGTCTTACTTCACCATGTCTGGGAAGCAAATAAGCATGGAAAAAAGCCACTCAAAGAATCCTATTATCTGGCTGAAAATGAAAAGTTACACTAACTACACTTTAACCACAAGAACAGATGGTGAAAGTGGCTCAAAACTCGAATTAAGAAAATGCATCGATGGAACGTATGGAAATCCTCTAAATTTCCACTCAGCATTAGCTATCAACAAATCCCAAACAACAGCATTCATTTGTGACAATAATAAAACATTTGATGTATCAATGTACCAACTTAAAGGATTAAATTGGAGGAAAGAAAAGTTGTTAGGTGTCAATTCAGACCCAATCATAATGTTGGATCTATCCATTACAGAAAATTGGTGTATTGCTACGACTATGAAAAGCTTCAAACTTTGGAATATAAAAAGTTTAGTTTGCAAGACACTTTTATTACCGCAATCTGTCAGAAATGTGAGTAAAAAGTTTGGACAGTCTAGCTCCCTCATACTTTCAGCGGGGGACAAATATGGAGTTTCCGGAATACGCAAGGAATTGTATATTTGGAAAATGGAAACTGAGGAACTAGCCAAGGTTATTAAAGCTCATTTTCAAAGGATAATAGATATCAGATCGTTAGTGGGTGGGAAGGATAATTCTGTCATAACTTCTTCGATTGATCGCAGCATCAAAGTTTGGGATTTAAACTTTATATTTGAAGATGATCATCATATTGATAAACATGAGTTAACTATTGATAGTTTGAGTGTCTCCACCCAGGCTCAGATAGCGGTTACTGTAACAAGAAGCTGTGTAGGGGTTTGGGACTACATGACAGGAAAACTCAAGTATACCTTAGCTAACTCTTCCCTTGGAGCTATCATTACTCATGCTATAGTTTCTGAGACCGGAGAGTATATAGTTGCAGCTGAGTCTGGAGATCTACTCTTCTGGGATCTGAAGACAAAGCAAGTCATTTTTTCAGAGAAACTTCCCAACATTATTCAACTGACATTCAATAAAAGGGAGACAAAGTTGATAATTGTCTCTTTTGCTGGACCACTAGGAACATTTCAAATATTGGAAATATTTAAACCAGAGACCTGCAGTCATAACTAGAAAACTCTGAGCCTTTAGTTATGACTGATTAGTCTATTAAACATGAGACACAGCAATTGTGCAGTTTAAACAGACTCACTTTACTTGATACGAAATTCAATAAGTTACTTGAGGAAAAACATTTGCTTTTTATATGTTGTCTTTATATTCGACAGTTTTCTGGTTATCACTGTATGTTATTTAGAAAAAAACAAGTAAAATTCAAAAGTGTAAAAATTTTAACTTTTAAAACCCGGAAATTAATTTTTGTCAGATTCTTATTTTTAAGAAAATTATTCCCTGTTGAAAAATCTAAATTTGATCCAATGCAGGAAGCCAGACCGGTTATGTAGTCTCAAAATCATTTCCCTCTGGGGAAACTGAATTCGAGCTAGATTTTCCCTTTCGTAAGTTCCAGCCTGTGCTCTACACCTCAAACGAGGAGTACCTGGTGTGCTACGGGTTTGAGAAGATGAAGAACCATCTCTTTATTCACTGCAATAAGACGGGGGAGCTCTACGCCTCCATGTTGGTGAAGTACCCAGGAACCAGATTTACTGAATAGTAAAAAATATAGTTTAAACCAGAACTTCGAAGACATGGAAAGAATTTATATAAATGTCGTCTTGACACTTTTTTATTGGCTAATATACTTTCATACCTACATAGCTTAGTAATTATAAAAATAAATATATAGCCATGAAATATGCGGGAATAGTTTAAAAGAGCTCATTATGATTATTGGATTAAGAAACTAAATATCTGCAGCATTCCATTATCAGTAGGTTTAGAAGACGACATTTTATAATTTCTTTTGATGAGTCGAAGTTCTCGATTAATCTGTAGTTGAACTGTGTACATTTGTGGTTGAACCACTTCTCTTCAGCTTAAACTGTTGCACAAGAGAATTGGTTTGAATACGGAAGTACGGTTCAGCTTCTTCTCTCTATTTATTAAATATGGTTCCAGGGTTCAAGGATATTTTCAAGATAGTTTCTCTACCAGACAAACCTGGGATAATCGCTCTTATAGATTCTGAGAAGGGAAATTTCCTTGATGTTGGGAGCAGGAAGTTTCTGAGGTCTATTCCGAACTGGGATGGGAGTTATACGAAGGACGGAAGATATGGTCTGTATGCTCCACCCTCCGGAGGAATGGATATTCTAGATCTGAGGACAGGTGAGATCAAGGTTGTAAATTAAGGTTGGTTACTCTCGATGCGCTCCAACGAACGGCATATGTCGTCTCCTTGGCATAGATAGATAAAATCCTCATATGACGTTACTCTCGTCCATATGTAATAAGTGACGACACATAATGGTTTTTTTCTACCTGGGCTTAGAAGACGACATTTTCCGAACATTGGAGCACATCGAGAGTAACCAACCTAATTCTGCAACCTTCTTCGGTGAGATTTAGGATCAAGTACAGTGACAGGATATGAAACATTAAAGACAAAGTTTATCCAGCTATATTTTTTAAATCATATGATCATACTTCATGCAGGACATATTACTTTCTGCTCAGATTACAAGATAGTACAGTAAGAACCAGAACACTCTGGAATAGGAAGACGACTTTTAGACTCAAGTTATAACTTTGACAAGTCTAATGAACATGAGACATAGAAATTGTGCAGTGTAAACATACTCCATGTTCTTGATAAGTGATTCAATAAGTTAGTAGTAAATCTTTTTGCTTTGTAACAACATCCAATACACAACAGATTGCAATGATGTCGAGTTGCTCTTCCACAGTTTTCTGGTACTCACTGTATATAAAAGAGAACCACAGATTGTTGTATAGGTTTCATACTTTAAGGGTAACGCCGCATATAATGCTCATTTTTTTAAATAATATGTTTTTAAAAATGTATCTCAATCTGAGAAGTTTATAACTCGCTTACATATTTTTAAATTTTTTAAATTATTTTAGGAAGTGTAGTTCGAACCTTGATTCCTAAGATTGCTGAGGGTATATTTGATGTGATCGCAACATTTAGTAAAACCAACGAATATGTACTGTACTACCATAGTGGAAGAAAGACAATAAGGTTGGAGATTTATTTTGTGTAAAATAAAATAAAAATTGGGCTTTCTCTGTTTTGTATGAAAACTTGGTCAAAGGAATTCATGGTTTTAAGTAAAACAAGCTGAAGTGCCCGTGGAATTTTTTAAAATTGAATATTTTAAAAAATTTCGATTTTAAATACAAATAATTTAAATTTCTTAGCCTATGTTACCTCTGGGATAACTCCTGGTTCCCTAAAAAAATGAGCCCATTCGGTCAAGCCGTTTGGCCAGCTAAAGCTTATATAGATTTTTAATTACGCGCAATTTTAGCGTCCTTTGAGAAAATGCGCTAATATTGGTCAACGGACGGAAAAATATCCATTTTAACATTTGCTTGTTATATAATTCTATCAAAATGTTAATATTCTAGAATGTTCTCACATTTTCTTGTTGTACAATTCTATCATAATGTTAATATTCTAGAATGTTCTCACATTTGCTTGTTATACAATTCTATCATAATGTTAATATTCTAGAATGTTATCACATTTGCTTGTTATACAATAGCTATCTTAATGTTAATATTCTAGAATGTTCTCACATTTGCTAGTTATACAATTCTATCATAATGTTAATATTCTAGAATGTTCTCACATTTGCTTGTTATACAATTCTATCATAATGATAATATTCTAGAATGTTCTCACATTTTCTTGTTTTACAATTCTATCATTATGTTAATATTCTAGAATGTTCTCACATTTTCTTGTTGTACAATTCTATCATAATGTTAATATTCTAGAATGTTCTCACATTTGCTAGTTATACAATTCTATCATAATGTTAATAATCTAGAATGCTCTCACATTTGCTAGTTATACAATTCTATCATAATGTTAATATTCTAGAATGTTCTCACATTTGCTTGTTATACAATTCTATCATAATGTTAATATTCTAGAATGTTCCGACGCAAAGATGGAGTAATGATCGCAAACTATAGGGTTCAAGCCGATCTTAAGGGTAATACTTTAAAGGACTGTAGACATCAGTACAATTTACTTTCAATTTAGAATTGCGTAATTCACAAGGATACTCTTTAAACCTTTTCATCTGATCATCGCCGACAGAGAACTCCATGTTTTTCTAGCTAAAAATTGAGTACAAACTATACAAAGATACTGGAGTGTACTTCAGTGCGAGTTTAGCGCAACTGACTTCACAGATTTCAATCTTGAAATATCTTTTGTCAAGCTTAAAAAAATCAAATGAAAACGTTTATTTTCTGTGGCTTCCAGAAAGAAAATAATAATTTTAAGATATAATTAAGCTTTAGACAAAGTTATCAACAGTTTCAGTGATTCAAAAAATTAGGATAACTTGGTTTTTCTTGTTTAGTTAGAAGTTTAAAGGGTACCGTTGTAAATCGGCCACGCTACTCTGTTTCAACTATGTTTTCAGTCCCTTTGAAAACTTATAATTTATATACGTAATTACATTTAGTTTAAGCGGGTAATATTTGAACCATCGATATTATGTTTCGTCTAAATTAATCTATCAATTTATTCACCCTTCCCTTTCCTTTTTTGAAAATAATTTTTACCCGCAGAAGTTATAGTTATGTTTTCATGGGTTTATTCAATGAATATGGGATTAATTAATTGACTGATGTGCAAAAAGTATGAAAAATTATGAAATAACCTTCTTTTTGAAATCTAATTTTATCACTACCTCCCCCCTGATATCCAAATGTCATTTTAGGTATGGAAACTACTGAGGATGGAAGAAGCGTGATACTAGGGATGGGAGACGGATCTATGACAACCTTAACCATCGCAGATCCGGCAAAGGAGGAAACTTATAAATATCTAGCAGAGCTTCCTTCCAGGTCCTCTCATGGTCCTTCTGTAGATACGAGGACTAGTGAACCAGGACAGATGAATCATGAGTATTTACAGAATGGAAACCCTTATCCTTCTCCATATGATTATTCAATCTATACAGATTATCTTAAAGCTCTGCACACTGTTATTCCAAGGAATCATATTTAATAACTGTTCACTTACAGTACACTTAATTGAACTGTACAGTGTACACTTACAGTAATATACATTCAAATAAATATTAACATGTAACAAATTCACTCTAATTCTCAATTTTCAAAAAACGATAAAAAAAATTTATTTTCTGAAAGTTTAAGACTCCATTGTATTCAGCTCTCTTGGTTGATCCGGATCAGAGACAAAGGGATCATAGGTCCACTGAAACAAAATCATATTTAACCAAAGAGATCATAGGTCCACTGAAACAAAATCAAATTTAAACAAAGGGATCATAGGTCCACTGAAACAAAATCAAATGTGAACAAAGGGATCATAGGTCCAATGAAACAAAATCAAATTTGAACAAAGGGATCATAGGTACACTGAAACAAATCAAATTTGAACAAAGGGATCATAGGTCCAATGAAACAAAATCAAATTTGAACAAAGAGATCATAGGTCCAGTGAAACAAAATCAAATTTAAACAAAGAGATCATAGGCCCACTGAAACAAAATCATATTTGAACAAAGATAAAAGATAACTCTTGTATTGTGGATATCTAGATCAATTCTTGATCTCCAACTTTTGTTAATCTGCAGATAATTCAATCTTTATTCGATATTCCGCGGTGTAATTGTACCCTGAAGAGATAAAGTATTTATCCTAAAATATAAAGTGCCCACTGTGGAAATCAAAATCAAGTGATCGGGATTAAAGTTTCCAGCTCTGGTCAGGTTGATTTAACCATAAAATATCATGATTTTGGTGGTATTAATTTTCAAATTCTGAAATTAAAATTTGAACTTCAATTGCTCCACTCAATCAAAATCGTTTAAAATTAGTGGCTAATTTGTAATTTTCTTTTTTTTTGGTTTTAAAAAAAAACATTTTTATGTATTTTTCGTAATTACATTAATTGATTATTTAAAAATATTATTTACCTTAGGAAAGACTCTCTTAAACAAGTGCAATAGAACTGTATCTTGTTGGTTTAACTGACCATCAAATATACATTTCATATGTCCATGCGTTCCCAAAGGTTCCTAAATATACATTTCATATGTCCATGCATTCCCAGAGGTTCCTAAATATACATTTCATATGTCGATGTGTTCCCAGAAGTTTCTAAATATACATTTCATATGACCATGTGTTCCTAGGGGTTCCTAAATATGTTTTCCCATAGGTTCCTAAATATACATTTCATATGTCAATGTGTTCCCAGAGGTTACTTAATATACATTTCATATGTCAATGTGTTCTCAGAGGTTACTAAATATATATTTCATATGTCAATGTGTTCCCAGAGGTTACTAAATATACATTTCATATGTCAATGTGTTACCAGAGGTTACTAAATATACATTTCATATGTCAGTGTTCCTAGGGGTTCCTAAATATGTTTTCCCATAGGTTCCTAAATATACATTTCATATGTCAATGTGTTCCCAGAGGTTACTAAATATACATTTCATATGTCAATGTGTTACCAGAGGTTACTAAATATACATTTCATATGTCAATGTGTTCCCAGAGGTTACTAAATATACATTTCATTATGTCCATGTGTTCCCAGGGTTCCTAAATATACATTTCATTATGTCCATGTGTTCCCAGAGGTTCCTAAATATATATTTCATATGTCCATGCGTTCCCAGGGGTTACTAAATATACATTTCATTATGTCCATGTGTTCCCAGGGTTCCTAAATATACATTTCATTATGTCCATGTGTTCCCAGAGGTTCCTAAATTTATATTTCATTTGTCCATGCGTTCCCAGGGGTTCCTAAGTATACATTTCATATGTCCATGCGTTCCCAGGGGTTCCTAAATATAAATTTCATTATGTCCATGTGTTCCCAGAGGTTCCTAAATATACATTTCATTATGTCCATGCGTTCCCAGAGGTTCCTAAATATACATTTCATCGTCTTTGCAAGAACAATGAAGTTAAGTTTGTTTTTCTTTCTGAAAATTTTATATCTTTAATTGTGGGTGTCCTTTAAATATACGTTTCATTAGTTCATGCCCTTCTAAGGATTCCTAAATTTACATAATATATGTTAGAGAGTTTCTAAGAGTTTATGCTTCTACTAAAATATACTTTAAATATGTTTAGGCGTCCTTCGGGATTCAATATTTATTGATATTTTCTTAATTTTTTCTTTAAATACCTTAATATGTCCTCTTCTTCCCATTTTAGTTCTGAGTTCTATAGGTTTAAACCATTCAATATCTTCTCTGTTAAAGAACATAAATCTAACAGTAGCGTGCCTTTTCAGAACCTGCAGAAACAAACTTTCATATTTCTTCTCATGTAAAGATAATTTTATTGTTAAAACCAAACCAATTTTTATCATATTCCATCCTAATCCCATCCCATCCCATCCCATCCCATCCCGTCCCATCCCATCCCATCCCATCCCATCCCATTAAAAAACAAATTCTAGAATTTTTTTACAAGAAAAAATTGAAAATGAAAAGTTTGTATTCCTTGAAGGGATGACCGGAAAGCAGGGTTCGCTTAACAATAACCCGGTCTGGGTCAGCGCTTAGCAGGGTTCCAGATCCAAGCAGAGAATGGGTTCCGTCAGTTAACTCCTGAACAGTTAAAATGTATATGAACGCGTTTTCGGCGTTTAAAATAGTTGGTTTTATGAGCTTTCTTTTCTGCCTTAAAGGAACTCTTTTAACCTTTGCCTGATGAATGAGATATCTTTATTTTCACGCTGATTATTTTCAATTGTGTTTTCTCTGTAAAGGTGACTTGCAAATATTTGCAACAGAGAAAATGATGGAAATTGTGATATCAAAAGACGATATCTTCCTCATCGTTGCCCAGTTCGAGGTTTAAAAGTGCCGTTGTGAATTGAACATGGTCAACAACGATCTTATTACAAATTTGTTAAAGTTTTGTTAGTATTTTAGATTTTTTGTATGTCCGATCATAACTCATGAACCTCTTGACCAATTTGCCTCAAATCTTGATTAAGAAACTGTAGTGAAGAACCACGGGAGTGCTCTTACCTTGGTTTGAAATTTCAAGTTGAGTGGGTTGACATTTGAAACGAAAGTTTAGTTTTCGGGCAAAGCTGGGTGTCGAGGCTAGTATCTGATAAAAAAATTAAACCTGGAAAACGAGAACAGGTGCTGGAGGGAATGTGATGGGAGCAAAGGTCGTCATCACCACTACATCATCCCGGAAGTATCTCTCGTATTTATGCTTGTTTCCGGTACTATGCTGGCTGAAGATAGGACACGAGGCAAACCTTCGCCAACCACAGTGGAATATTAATCTATCCTAAATCAAATCAAATCAAATCAAATCAAATCAAATCAAATCAAATCAAATCAAATCAAATCAAATCAAATCAAATCAAATCAAATCAAAAAAAACCCGTTCTAAATATCAATATTGAGTATATCTCTACTAATTGTTAAGTACGGAGTATAGAGATGAAACCTGTTCTAAATATCAATATTGAGTATATCTCTAATAAATGTCAAGTACGGAGTAAAGAGATGGAACCCGTTCTAAATATCAATATTGAGTTTATCTCTACTAAATGTGAAGTACGGAGTAAAGAGATAAACCCCGTTCTAAATATCAATATTGAGTTTATCTCTACTAAATGTGAAGTACGGAGTAAAGAGATAAACCCCGTTCTAAATATCCCTACTAATTGTTTAGTACAGAGTAAAGAGATAAAATCCTTTCTAAATATCAATATTGAGTTTATCTTTACTAATTTTTAAGTACGGAGTAAAGAGATGAAACCCGTTCTAAATATCAATATTGAGCTTATCTCAACTAATTGTTAAGTGCGGAGTATAGAGATGGAACTCGTTCTAAATATCAATATTGAGTTAATCTCTACTAATTCTTAAGTACGGAGTAAAGAGATGAAACACGTTTTAAATATCAATATTGAGCTTATCTCAACTAATTGTTAAGTACGGAGTATAGAGATAAAACCCGTTCTAAATATCAATATTGAGTTAATCTCTTTCTAATTGTTATGTACGGAGTATAGAGATAAAAACCGTTCTAAATATCAATATTTAGTTTATCTCTACTTATTGTTAAGTACGGAGTAGATAAAACCAGTTCTAAATATCAATATTGAGTTTATCTCTACTTATTGTTAAGAACGGAGTATAGAGATAAAACCCGTTCTAAATATCAATATTGAGTTTATCTCTACTAATTGTTAAGTACGGAGTATAGAGATAAAACCCGTTCTAAATATCAATATTGAGTTTATCTCTACTAATTGTTAAGTACGGACTATAGAGATGAAACCCGTTCTAAATATTAATATCGAGCTTATCTCTACTAATTGTTGAGTACGGAGAGTAAAGAGTTTATCTCTAGTTACTGTCGAGTATGGAGTAAAAACATGAATCCCGTCCTAAATATCAATTTATCTCAGCTTATGTTTTTGCTCATACGGTAGTTTGCAGCATTGGAGCATTATTTTATCCCTAACCTTCTATTTGAGGTTTAAGATGAGCTCCAACTCCTTTGACGTAGATCTTGACATACCATCCCACCTCGGCACCAGTAACAGCCTCGGACAAAATCCTCTTCTTTGTCCTCAAGAAGTTCTCAAACTGAAATATTCTTCCGTAGTCGTAGGGGAGGTTCTCCTTAGGATCCCAGACTGTTGTCCTGAAGCTCTTGAGACCGCGATATTTCTGGAACCTGACCCTGGCTTGGGTGTCCCTGGGGGTGTCCACCTCATCGGGGAACATGGCCTCCAGCCTCGCCTCTCTCAACCTCTCCAGTTCATTCACCTCCTCGCTAAAATATAAAAAATTCATTAAAATATTTATCGTTTATTTCAATAAACTCTTCATTTATAGAGTAGTATGTCCTATCCACAACAGTAACCTCTAGCTCCCTTAATCAGACATAGGGTTAAAGGGAACCGTTGTGAATCAAACAGTGCCACTTAAAATTCATCTGAACAGTCCCTTTTCGAATGAAAATGGAAACCAACTAAAAACCATAAATAGTAAAGCTTCATTGTTGCCAACAACACGACAGGAGCTTGTCTGACTAGAGTAAAATGATCATTAAACCATTTTATGCGGTAATTTATAAGACTTGAAATTTCATATATTACCATAATGTCTCAACACCTAAATACAAAGAATAATTTAAATACAATAAAAACTAAAATTTTATGAAAAAGAATAAACTAAACATTTATCCATGAACACGAATGGTAAATGTACAATGTACAATGTACAGTGTACACTGTACACTCTCTAACAAGGTAATAAAAGGGCTATGTTTTCAAAAATTCAAAAGTTCAAAAGTCAGGATTTTTTATTTATAAGAAGTTAAATCTAACCAAATAGGAACAAATTGTTTAAAAATTAATTCCAACCTGAAATTAACGTGTTTCATATCATAATCCTCTGTATTCCCAGCCTCCGATTCTGTTACAGTATCCTCCGCCATATCCTCCTTCTCATCCTCCGATTCGTCCTCCGAATCTGATTCTTCAGCAGCTGGGATATCTTCAACCTCGTTCATCTCCTCATCGTCATCTTCATTCTCATCATCCTCTGCATCATCCTTGTCCTCCTCGTTCTCTTCAATCCAGGCAGCTTGGTATTCACTTGTTCCCTTCGGTACTCTTTTAGTTCTCTTCTTGTCCCCTAGGGTTAGCCGAAATTATTATCATTTATTATTATTTATTATCATTACAGGGTGGCCAAAACTTTTTTGAAAAAATCCGTACAAAAATCCGTACATTTTCAGAAGAAAACCGTACAATCCGTACAATTTTCGAAAAAAAAATCCGTACAATCCCTACATTTTTTTTAAAAAAGCCGTACATTTTTTAAAAAATCCGTACAATTTTCGAAAAAATCCGTACACCAAAAGTACTCAATGACATAAGAACAGCCAATGTTCACAACAGACCTAGTTAATCTATATAATAGGAATATCTTTNTCTAAAATAATATTTTGTAAAAATGAAATTTTCTTCGTTTTATATAAAGCCTATATTTAGGAATCTTTGCTGTAAATTAATGAAGTTTTACAATTGCAAATAGGTTTGAAAAATAAATAAACTAAAATAAACAGATCAGATAAAGATGGGAAAGCGTTTTTCTCATTCACTTCTTTGCTTTGGAGAAGGATGAATGAAGTGAAGGATAAATGAAGATAAAGAATATGAAGGATGAATAAAGATAAAGGATGAATAAAGATAAACAGATGAAGGTTTGAAAACCATTATTACTTTCTATTCCTTCACCTTTATGCTCTGCCTGTGCCAGCTCCTCGTCCGTCGGCCAGGTTTGCTCTCCGTCCATACCGTCCGGGGCTATTTCAGTCTCAAGATCAACAATGTCGTCATTTGGAAGAAGAACACTGAAAATTTCATTATATAAAGCTTTAAAAATTAAATAAACAAATGGCCATGAAGAAATAGTGACTTTAAAACAAAATTGCACTTTAGCAACAAAGAGGACTGGGTGGTCATGAACAAAGTGTCAAATGATACAAAAATGGTGACCTTGAAACAAAAACGAAACCGCAAAACCAAAAAGATGACCTTGAAATGAAATGGTAACCGCGAAACCAAACGGTAACCGTGAAACCAAATGGTAACATTGTAATCAAATGGTAACCTTGTAACCAAATGGTAACCTTGAAACCAAGTGGTAGCCTTGAAACCAAATGGTGACCTAACAACAAAATAGTGACCTTGAAACCAAATGGTATCCTTGAAACCAAATGGTATCCTTGAAACCAAATGGTAACCTTGAAACCAAATGGTAACCTTGAAACCAAATGGAAACCTTGAAACCAAATGGTAACCTTGAAACTAAATGGTAACCTTGAAACCAAGTGGTAACCTTGAAACCAAATGGTAACCTTGAAACCAAATGGTAACCTTGAAACCAAATTGTAACCTTGAAACCAAATGGTAACCTTGGAACAAAATGCTAACCTTGGAACCAAATGGTAACCTTGGAACAAAATGGTAACCTTGGAACCAAATGGTGATCTAACAACAAAATAGTGACCTTGAAACCAAATGATGGTATCCTTGAAACCAAATGGTAACCTTGAAACCAAAGGGTAACCTTGAAACCAAATGGTATCCTTGGAACCAAATGGTAACCCTGAAACCAAATGTTAACTTTGAAACCAAATGGTAACCTTGAAACCAAATGGTCACCTAACAATAAAATGATGACCTTGAAACAAAAGTGATCTTGAAACAAGATGGTAACCTTGAAACAAATATGGTCCCTTGAAATAAAAGAGTGACCTTGAATCAAAATAGTGACCTAGAAAACAAAACGTCGATCATAAAACAAAATGGTGGCCTTGAAACAGGAAGGTGTCCAAGAAACAAAATGATGGTCTTGAAACAGGAAGGTGTCCAAAAAACAAAATGGTGGTCTTGAAACAGGAAGGTGTCCAAGAAACAAAATGGCGACTTAAAAAAGGAAAATAAGAATCTAAATGTTGACCATGAAACAAAATATTTTATTTATTCTATACAATCCGAACAAAGAACTGCCACAGAATTTCTTCTGGAGAACATGAAACTAAAGTGGCCTTGAAACAAAATAGATACCTTGAAACAAAAAAAAATGGCGAGGTTATAACCTTAAATCTTCCATCTCATTCTTCTTTGATATCGGACAAGGATCCTGAAGCTTCTCTATCTTCTCGAGCTGGAAATCCCCGAGACCAGGAATATGAACTAATCTGTTCACGGAGATATCCTGGCTTCGTACAAACCCTGTCAACTCCAACGAACCTGAAAACCATATTTTAAAAAATATGAAAGAGTTGGTTTACATTTCAACATTGTGCCTAACTGATGCTATGCAAACTGACGGAAAGCGTATCCGACCTAATTATCGAGTAGTTTTCACAACTTGTGCGTTTACGGAATTAAAATGCCCCTTGTAACTACGTTTAAACCTCAAACCAACTCCATCTACCCAGCCTAACCTAACCTAACATATTTTATAATCTTATACAATTTTCGGTTTGTAAAAACCCTTAGGTCAGTTTCATCTGACTCGGTTGAGCGGGTACAGTCTTAAAAATACAAACCTTCTCCTGGTGCCTCTCCAGGTATATATTGAACAGTCTCCGCCAACATATTGCCGCGTCTCTCTCTCAAGGTACTGCTCCGCCGTTTCTGGGAGCCGAATGTTCTAACTGTTTCAAACATTTAAATATTTTGTTATAAAAATAATTTATACTACACCGAAAATTTTATAATTTGATCTAGGAGCATATATTTCCATTTGCATAGGGCAGGATGGTAGGGACTGTAAGCGTAATTATAAGGGATCCTCCACGCAAAGATGACAATGCCCGATTTACAACGGTACTCTTAAAAGCTTTATCTGATCAGGTATGAATTAGATATGTATGTTTTTTTAAACTGTTTATTTTTATTTGTGGTTTCTCTGCAAAAGTTACTTGCGCATTTCCTGCTTGAAGAAACAATGAAGAAAATAACAGAATCACTTTTCCGAGTGAGAAAAACGAAATTATCTTCCACATTTTTTAGCAGATAAAGGTTTTAAGGGTATCGTTGTAAATCGGGTATTGTAAACTGTCATCTTTGCATGGAGGGTCACTTAAAATTACGCATACAGTTCCTTTAATTAATAAAAATCTGTGATTTAAATGTTTGATAAATTCCTAAATTGACAGCGTCTGTATCTGTTTCTAAAGTATAAATCTTCTCCGCCGGGAACTTTCTCTCCAGAGCTTTAATCATCAATTTCTTTACCTCCGTTAGTTTGCTCGGAGGTATTTCATCTGCAGATCCTAGAACCATCAGAGGATCTGCAGGTATACCCTGAGCTAGGACACTAGACAGGATCAACTCTCCTCGTTCTAAACCAGATCTTTTATTATTCTTAGTTTTATTTAAAAATTGCTTAACACCTCAGGAAGTAATTAACATGCTAAATAATCTAATTTCATAATTCGGAAAGTTTTCAAATTAAAAACACGAGGGATCAAAATATGAAAGATGGCAGTTAGCTTTTTCTGTACAAATTATCATGTTTAATAAGAGACACTTATCTTATATTTAATAATTTTAGCCAAAATATAAATATAATTATTAACAGTGCTTAGGATCCGGATCCGTTGGATCCGCAAAATTTTGGCTTCCTGGATCCGGATACTCAAAAATATGTGGATCCACGGATCCGGATCCAAGGGGTAAAACATCAACCAAAAACTACAAAAAAGTTTTTTTATTTCTAAAACCCAAATCTGAACTTTTGAAAAAAAGAGATATTATAAAAATTTCCTCATTTCTGAATGGTTCAAGTTTTAGGATAAAAAAGCAAAAAAAATAAAACAAAAGATTTGAAAAATATTTTTTATTAAAAAAAATTCAGCAAATCTTAAAGAATTGACCTGGATCCGGATCCATTTTTTCCAATGCGGATCCAGGATCCGGATCCGGATCCTGCATCAAATTTAAATGGATCCTAAGCACTGATTATTTTTAGAGAACTTTTTTAACAGTTTTTGGTTGATATTGAACCTTGATCCATTTTCATGGATCCGCATATTTATTTGGATCCGGCGTATCCAACGGATCTGGAACCTACGCACTGATTAAAAGTTAATATTTCATTTTAACCTGAAAGGCCGGTGTGAGGGCACAAAAGAAACATTACTGTATCACAAACCTGTACAAAACAGAATTTAAATTATGAATAATAATGAATATGATCCAGTACCTTCTATCTATCTATCTATTATGACATCCCAATAACACGAATGTTACCAGGAAACCACCCCTCCCTGAGGAGTGCGTAGGTCACAGAGTTAGCATGACATGACATTAGTAAGAGAATGTTAGGTTTTTAGCTTCAATGGTTCCCAGCTAGGCTAGAGTTCCATGAGAGTGAATTTAAACAATGAATAATAAATATGAATATACCTTAGTAACGTCCAGTATCTCGAAGAATGAATTAATACTATGAATAATGAATGTGAATTAACCTTAGTAACGTCCAGTATCTCGAAGAATGAATTAAAACAATGAATAATGAATATGAATCTACCTTAGTAAGGTCCAGTATTCTCGAAAAATGAATTAACACTATGAATAATGAAAATGAATCTACCTAAGTAACGTCCAGTATCTCGAAAAATGAATTAAAACTATGAATAATGAATGTGAATTAACCTTAGCAACGTCCAGTATCTCGTAGAGTGAATCGAAGCTAGGAATAATGAATGAAAATCTCTGCTTAAATCTTGGAACCATGAGATGTGTTACTCCAGATTCTGTTTTCGTCATCTGCAAAAACGTAAAAAAATTATATTTGTAAACTATGAAAAAAATATTCTTGCTTTTAAATTCAAAGTTAAGGATACCTTTTTTGTTGCAATTTTACTAAAAAAAATTGGGAACATTTTATTATCATAAATTAGGTAACTAACCCACCTCTGCGTCCTGCATTGACGATGTGAGTTTCTCCAGGAGTCCTGGTACATTTGGAACCTGACTGTCGGAGAGAGGGATGAGAGCAACCAGAACTGGAGGAGCTCCGTGTCCTCCGATACCGCGCTTCCGAGCAGTGACCTCCTGCCTTGCGAGGTTCCTGGCCTGGGTTAGATGGTTTTTCCGATCTTGCTTCCGCTGAACCTTGATCCCCTTCTTAGACACAACCTGGAGAATTCAGAGGATTAGAACTAAGGTTGTTTGTGAGTTTTAGTAGTATACGAATCCAAGCTGTCACTTTCATAAGGATTTTGTTTTGCTTGTTCCTGTGCCTTAATTTAGGATATATATAAGGGACCCCCTTTTGAATCGTTCAATTTTAATCCCATCTCAAGTTACAAACGAACTATAAAAACGAAGTTTCTGTTATATCTTAGTAAGTCAGACGTTTTTACTTATTATTATTATTTTTAAAGGACAACCCAGCATTCAATGAAATAGGGGTCGGCGCTCCTAGCCGCCGAAATGTTAAATCAGTTTAAAAAAAAAACCAAAAAAGTACCAATTCTGGAGTCAAAACTTCTGTGTAAAATGGTGTTCATCTACACCACTTGATATCGTTATCCACTGTGATAACTTTATATTGGAGAGGTATGTGCTTTCACCTTTATCTTAGTTATTCCTGCAGTGTATGACCACCACAGGATATCCAAGGTGAATTAAATTAATCTTTAAGTCTGCACAAGATGCTTAATTTATATAAAAAATTCTGACCTCATGGCTAGTTTCCAAGGCCATTAGTCATTACACAGGAATTTGTACAGGGGAGTGTCTACTTTTTTTAAGGGGGGGGGGGGGGGGGGAAAACCAAAGATATTACTAACTCGCCCCCCCCCCTAGTGTGCGCCTAAGCTAGTTTCTCACCTTAGCGGATACCCGACCTCTATTCTCCTTCTCAACTGCTCCTTTACTCTTGTGCCGACCCGTCTTATGACTCTTGTTCGACTGTTTGAATGCTCCCGCCCTGTGCGCCTCTCCTACAGACGCCATCTTGATTCTTGTTCAAGATTGTTCTGGAAAAAACGTACAACATGACAATTTTCAGAGAAACGATCATATTATAAAAATATAAAAGGTTTTTACGAATTTTACATTATCTAAACGTTAACATGGTACTTATGATTTATAAATTATGTCACAAATACATTAAACAATTTATTATTTATTAGCACAAACTTAATTATATGATTTAATCATTTCAACCAATGTGTTTGGACAAACAATTGGATTGTTTACATTCTTTGCAGTACGCTTTGCAGTTATACGTTTTGCAGTACGCTTTCGTTGCAATTTTAAGTGACCCATTTAAAAACATGGAAGTGTCTTTAAATTAGTTCAGAATTTAGTTTATGCTCTAAAATACAATCAATTGTTTCTATTATACAAGATCCTTTAAAAGAACCATTTAAAAACTAAAAACAACAATTATAATAAATTATAATAAATATATGAATAATACTATTTAGATCCTTGAACATATTTGACTTCGTCGAAAGCTTTCCTTGCTTTCTTGAGCTCTTCGTTCATGGTGAGAAGTTCACGCACACGCGCATACATTCGGGGGTGCTTACGGACCAGGAATATTATATCCTCTACCTAAAATCATTATCAATCAATTATCATTATTCGTTGGTTAAAATAATTATTCTTACAATTGATGAGTCAATTATCAAAAACAAAATTTGTCTATTATCAGATCACTTATAAAACAAACTATAAAATTAATTATAAAAAAATGATTACATAAATCAATGATCAAATATATGGTTAAAATAATGCCCAAATCAATAATGAAATTATTTGTTAAATAGATTATTTAAAAATCAACTATCAATCAATCAAATCAATTATAAAATCGGAATCAATGATTAAATCAATTATTAATTCAGTCGGTAAGTTGGCTAATAACATTTATCAATGATCATATTAATTTTAGAATCAGCCATGAAGATTTTAGTCATACAAATCTTCAAATCCAACATAAGATTATCAACCAACCAACCAGCAAACCGACCACTCAACCATCCAACCAACCGTTATACCTGAACCCGTCCTATTCTACCGATCTCCATGGATTTGTGGGTCATCTCTGTTATAAACTCCAAGACCAAGTCCTCGAGAAAGTCTACGGTTTCCGTGTATGGGTTTCTGTCATCACCGTATCCGTAGAGCATACAACGGATTTCCTATAAAAAAATTGATATCTGAAAAAGATGCAAACCCCCATATCTTTGCAACCTGACGGTGTAAACTTTTTATATTTAAAACTTTCAAGAAGTAGTAGAACTCAGGAGGGATAGACGAACTACTTATAACTGGTTATTAAATCCGACCAAAGGTTGCAAAGATATAAGTGATAGAAAATTAGAATATAAGGCGATTTATCAGTTCCATAACTAGTTACAAATCAACTACGAGAAATCTGAAAAATCTTACATTGACAGGTTTTACAAGATTTAGAGTCCATTTACATTTACATTTTGGCTTCCTCGATCAAGATCCGAAGGGAAACCGAAAATATTAACCAAAACCTTCTAAAATTTTACTTTTTGCTCCAAAAAAACACTAATCTCAACTGTAAACTAATGAACGATCATTAAAATTTAAAAGCTTCATAATCTCTGAAATTTTCATTAAGTTCTAACATAAAAATAACCGAAAACAACATTTTACCAATATTTTTTAATTTTCTTTAAGATATTAATAAAGCTTTAAGAAATGATAATGGATTCGGATCCGCATCAATATGAAATGGATCCTAAGCACTGGTGAAAATAAAAATCAAACCTTAGAGAAGAACCTTCTTCTTCCACCATCCCCGGACACATCCCCCATCCCCTCATCCCTCTCCTCATCGTCCTCAAACCCCTCGAAACTCCGGTTCGGATCCTCAATATTCTCCGCCATATTTTATCTGAAAATTTAGAAAAAAAAATTATGGTAAACTTGGCGGCCATATTGATTTAATCTCCTCGTGTAATACTTCCGGAAGCCAGGATAAATAGGCCGGAAGTAGAAAGGATTTATTTGATTCCCAAACCTTCTTCAGATCTTTGGCCGATTCTACTTTAGCTGAGTTAAGCGCCTTGAGGATGATCTCTGTTCTGGGCTGAAGGTTGGACCAGGACTTTGTCATGATCACAGGGTTGGAGAGAAGGTTGGACACGTACTTCTCCAGGGACGGAGCAATCTTTCCCTCCAGAAGAAATTTAGCCAAAAATTTGTATTTCTGAATCCCAGACTGGAGTTCTAGTTCTACTCTAGGTAGGGGGAAGGAACCGGGTCCAAAGGTTCCTGAAAAGAAGTTTTTAGATCAAAATTCCTGTTAATCTTTTCAAAAAATGTCGAACCTTAGTTAAGTGGGGGGCATTGCCCTAAACGGTATAATTGGTTATGATACCACTCCTCTAAAAATATATTTCATCTTTTCTTTTCCATAACAAAAGTATTTTGTTGCCAGCAGTATAAGGAATTGAGTCTTTGCTACAAACTCCAATTTTCTGATCCCTATATCTTTGCAACCTGATTGTGTAAACCTTTGATATTTCAAAATTAGAGTATTTGATCCAACCGAATTCAAGGTTTAAAATATCGAAGGTCTATGACATTTGGTTGCAAAGATAAAGGGATTAGAAAATCCACAAGAATAAAAACTGTGCACCAAACTTCAAGAAAATATTCATTTATCTGTTTAAATCTGAAGATAAATTCTAAATAGAGATTGAAGAGAAGAATAAAAAACTCCAAACAAAAGTACGATAATTCAATGAAAACTTTAAAACTAACCTCTAAATGAAGCTCTGATAGTTCCTGAACTAGAACAATATCTAGGTTCAGGATCCTCTATAGGAGCTCCTAGGTTGCATAAACCTGGAATATATTTAGCTAACCACTCAGGTTGGATCTCCGTCACACACCGTAGATACACTTTATCCGTCTCGAAAACCTCCTGGTAAACGATCCAATCCGGAGACTTCTTCTTGAGGACGGATGAAGAGTGGATGAAGGCTGGTTGCTCCATGGCTCCTATTTTGTATCCTCCCTTGATAAATCCTTCCTCTCCTTCCTTTATCTTTCTCCCTACCTGGTCACCACAACCTAATCATAAACCTAATTAATTGTATCATTTACTCCAGGAAAATTAGAACCTAGAGAAATTTAAACCCCCGCGGGATTCAATGATAAACCCGAGGACGTAGACAAATGTACTGACAAATGTATTAATTGTGATTTTAAGAAAAAAGGCAAGGACGGACAAGTTTAATAAGGTCGCCTATAGAAAGGTATAAAATTCTGACTATAATATTCATCGAGAGAAGAGTTGTAAAACCATTGAAAACCTGACGGGATTCAATCAAAAACTTTCTATTTAAAACATCATTTTAAGACTTACTCCAGAATTATTCATGGCACTGAAAATTTGTCGTTAAAATTTCTCAGATTTGCTGTTAACATTTGTTTGAGTAAAAAGTAAATTTTAATCGATTTTATCTTATTTCATTTTGACAAAGTTTGGGACCGATCGGATCTATTTTAATGTTGGTAACGATCGAGGCAGATCCCCAATGTAAAATCCCCAGACCACCATCGATCGTTAAAGGACTGTGCCCAAAAATGAAAATGAGTGAGAATTCAGCGAAATCTAAAAACTGATAGCTTTGGATCGATCCGAGTGGCATCAGAGGCGTATTCATTGGGGGGACCTAGGGGGCCCCCCCCCCCCCCCCCTGTACAATTGAAATCTATGGTTTTAAGGTCCCACGGCTGCTGAGCCCCCCTGTAAAGAAACCCCCCCCCCTTCCCTTGGACCAATTCCTGAATACGTCCCTGCGTATTTTCTTATGATCTGACCTGCTAGGAGAAGCTGTTGAAGGAGTCTGGCCTCGTCTTGTGATGGAGGTTTAAGACCAGGCTGAAGGATCTGTCCAACCCCTGAAAAAACCAGTTCTTTGTATTATTTTATTCGTTACAAGCTGAAGTTCCTTGTGTTGCCCGTGGAATTTTGAAAAAAAATCTATTTTTTTGCTACCCCCGGGATACCCATGGGTTTCCTCAATAATTTCAGCTATAGCTAACATATAAATATATGGACAAAGAGCTTTATTATATTGATTTATTTTTTGCTACAATTTTTTTCTTCAATTTTATAGTTCTACGTAATTTCTAATAAATTGTAGCAAGACTTTAATCTAGCAATCGATAACTGTCATTAATAAATAGCCTTAGACTTTCAGGGGGGGTCAGGAGATGCTCATATAACAAATATATATCGCTGGAGGGAAGAAAGGATGATTACAAAACTATTTTCTTTTAAATTAAAACTAAAAATTAAAACTAAATTCTACAGATCCTAAATTTATGAATTGTAATAATAATTTTTAGGATTCAGCCTGACCCCCCCCCCTTCATTTCACGCGAACACTCCCTTTAAATATAATGAAAAATACCTGGAAGTACAACCTCTACCTCTGAACAGAGCTGTTTCCTTAATCTTCTAATCTCGTGAAGAGCTTTAGGTCTCAACCCGACACTTTTACAGAACTCTTCAGTATCTCCGGACCTCTCTGCGATACAGAGAGCGTAGAGAAGAACCATTGGATCTCCCAGGCTAAGGGTGTTTCCTTGACCCACCCAATCCCTCCTAGATCATAAAATTTTTTAGATTCATCTGTAATTATTATAGTGGGGGTTTTTTAATATTTATTTTCGTTACTTTATATCTCATAAAAAAATGTTCGTTTACCATACGTGGGCGCTAGAGCGTCGGGAAACCCGGCGGTCCCGGGGTGCAATTTAAACTAAAACTATATCTTGCAATTTCTAGCATCAATTTTTTTCATTTAGTAAGTGAGATATGAATAAATTAAAAATCAAAACTGTAAAAACCCTGCAAGTTAAGACCCCATTTTATACTTTTCTTTTTCTGAAAAATAAAAACACCTACTAAGGTTTATGTCTTTCCATATATATATACTTTTTGCTTTAAGCAACGAAGTTAAAAACCAAACAAATGTAAGAAATTTGGTTTTTACACTTTACATCCTAATTGTCATGAATTGCGAATGAAGTAGGAAACAGAATGAATTAGTAGTTTCATGTTACAAATAACATGCTTAAACTTTTAAATATTCGAAGATGGCTATGTAAGATATAAGGATTACCTTATCTCCATGAGTTGTTTAGGGGCCTTCTCCTGACCCCCTGAACCAACCCCCTTCTCCACCAACACTTCCTGAGCACAAATAATCAAGAGTTAAAGGAGAACTTAAAGGGACTTAAAGGGACATGGTAGAACTTAATAAAGGGAAGTATCACGTGATTTCAAGTAACCCATTACATTCATGATTCACAACGCTTCCCTTTAAAGCTTTACCTAACTAATAATGAAAGTTATATAATTTTCCTCAGACATATATTTAAAGGGCGCCGTTGTGAATCGGACATCTGAATTTTTACATGGGCGGCCACTTCGAAGTAAGCTCGCTTATTCATTTAGATTTTACATGGGCGGTCACTTCGAAGTAAGCTCGCTTATTCATTTAGATTTTACATGGACGGTCACTTCGAAGTAAGCTCGCTTATTCATTTAGATTTTACATGGGCGGTCACTTCGAAGTGAGCTCATTAATTCATTTAGTTTGTACATGGACGGTCACTTTGAAGTAAGCTCGCTTATTCATTTAGATTTAACATGGACGGTCACTTCGAAGTGAGCTCATTTATTCATTTAGTTTGTACATGGACGGTCACTTCCTCGCCTATTCATTTAGCTTTTACATGGACGGTCACTTCGAAGTAAGCTCGCTTATTAATTTAGTTTGTTAGCATAAAATTTTCAATAAAATCCAATGACTTAACGTTTTAAGGTGCAATCTTTTTAATTAACCATCCATAAAATTATAATTTCTAAAACCACCCTGCTAATTAGCTCTGGAAAATGGGTTTGATAAGAGAAGAGTGCTGACCTGAACTGAAAGTAGGGAGACGAGTGCTATGGAGAGGGGGAGAAGGTTGTGTTGATGAGAGAGAGCTAGCATTTTACCAAACCTTGGAGATACAGGAAAACTAGCAACTGCTTTACCCAGCGGAGTAACTGTACTTGTAAACTTAATCTTCTCAACCTCACGCAGGGGTAGCCCGGGGGCGGGGCAACTCAGGAGTCGGAGCAGTTGTAACCGTTCTTCTGCTCCGCGTAGTTGAACCTTGTCGGGTGGAGAAGGGAAGGGAAAGTTCACGACTTTGTCGATGTTCATCGCTTTCATCTGGAGTAGAAGTCCGTCCGCCGGTTTCTGCTGGATTTCTGGTTCAGAGAAATCTTTCATATCATTATTGAACACTGCACTACTGTACAATCTAGATAAAAAACACAATTATTGTACTGTACTGAATTACAATACAACCTTGAAATAAAACAATTGTTGTACTGTATTGCACTACCAGTTGTTTCTGTAATGCACTACTATACAATTTAGTAATTAACAAATTTTGTACTGTACCACAATACTGTAAAACCTTGAAATAAAAATATTGTTGTACTGCACTGCACTATAGTACAATCTAGAGAGAAAAACCACAATTGTTGTACTGTACTGCACTACTGTACAATCATGAATGAAAACAATTGTTGTACTACACTGCACTACTGTACAATCTAGAAATAAACAATTACTGTAATGTACTGCACTTGTTTACAATCTAGAAATAAAACAAATGTTGTACTGCACTGCACTTCTGTACAATCTATAAATAAAACAATTGCTCTGAACTGCACTACTGTCCAATAAAACAATTGTTGTACTGTACTGCACTACTGTACAAACTAGAAATAAAACAATTGTACTGAACTGCACTACTGCACAATAAAACAATTATTGTACTGAACTGCATTCCTGTACAATCTACAAAAAAAACTGTTGTACTACACTGCACTACTGTACAATCATGAATTAAAACAACAGTATTTGAGTGTATAGGACATTCTTGTATTAAAGCTGTAAAAAATCAAATCAAATCAGACTTTTAGGAACGATCTTTTTCATCATTCAATCATTGAGTTTTATTTCATATTATGGATTAAGAATAAAATCTAAATCCTGTTACACTAAAAGATATTCAGATAAAACCTATTTCAACATTAAACCTAAAAATATCTACAAAGAAAAAAAAAGGATTTGATTTTTATCAAACTTTAACTTTATCCCGCCAAACTTGAAAGAGAAATTCAGATGAGTTTCTAAAACTAAAACTTGAAAACTCGGAACAGAATCAAACAGTATTTAATCATAAAATCACTTCATAAAACTTTTAATCAATTCTTATCATACTGCATGATACAAAATGTCTATCACGAACGACTTTTTGCGTTTCTTCTGTCGATTTTCATTAAATAATAGGATACATTTAGTTGCCAAGTCTATTTCTAAAACAGATTAAGAGAGACAAAAAATCAAAACGAGTTTTTAGTCTTAATCTTGCTTCGACTTAACAGGACAGACCCAGGATTTTAGTCCAGGATCGAGAATAAAGGATCCGAAATCTCGGTTCCGGAAATCCGGAATCTAGAATTCTAAATCTAGGATCCTGAATCTAAAATCTTGAATATAGGATCCTGAATCAAGGATTCGGAATCTAGGATCCAGAATCTAGGATACGGAGTCTAGGATCCTGAAATCCTGACTCAAGGATCTTGAATCTAGGATCCTGAATCTAGGATCCTGAATCTAGGATTCTGAATCTAGGATCCTGAATCTAGGATCCGGAAATCCGGAATCTAGGATCTTGAATCTAGGATTCTGAATCTAGGATCCTAAATCTTGGATCCTGAATCTAGGATTCTAAATCTGGGATCTGAATCTAGGATCCTGATGAATCTAGTATCCTGAATCTAGTATCCTGAATCTAGTATCCCGAATCTAGGATCCTGAATCTAGGATCCTGAATCTAGGATCCTGAATCTAAGATCCTGTCTCTAGGATCCAGAATCTAGGGTCCGTAATCTTGTATCCGGAATCTGGGAGCTATAATTCAGGATCTAGAATACAGGATCCGTAATCTATAAGCCAGGATCCAGAACCTAGAATCCAGAATCAGGTTTCTAGGATCCATGATCCGGAATCTAAGATCCATGATTCGCGTGAGAATGAATCTTTAAAACTGGTTTTCTATTATATCCTGAAATGAGCCACATCATATTGGAATATGATAATCTTATGAGGAAAAAAATGTAATAATGGAAATGTAAAAGAATTCCATTATTACATTTTTATCCTCATAAGATTATTATTATATCATATTTGTGAGGTTCCATGGGCACATACTCAAGAAATTATATTAAAAAATAATTCTGGTTAAATCAGACTATTTTAAGTTGGAACAGTTAACATTATGAAAGGTTGCAAATAAGTTTTATGCTCTTGTTCTGACTAACACTGTTTTATTTTTCTAATGTTAAAAAAAAAACATTTTAAAAGTAAAAATTGGTTCTTAATTTGAAAGTAATGCATGTGGTGTGATTGTTTCCTTAATTTAGTTTAGTTTGTTTGTTTACCAATTTCTAATGATTTTGCTCGTTTTTCAAGTTATTGAGATACAGCATGTTAAATGTGCCCGGAGTTTTTTTTAGATGGAGAGAAGGTATTGTATTGTGTTGTCTTAATCTACTGAACAATATCGTGTCTTCATTTATAGAAGAAATCATTTTCTGATTATTAGATCCTAAATCTTCCAAAAAGAGGAGATAAAATCAGGTTATCTAGTAAGAATCAGTTCGACATGAACTGATGAAAATCTTTGTCTTTTATTCATGAAGCAAGATTTACTGGTTTGTTTTCATTGCTATGGAGTGCTAAGACTCCATTAAAAATGTGACACTAATATTTCAATGATAAGTTTTTTATACTTTTTTTTGGTTTTGATTGTGGTTTCACTTCCTCATCTCGAACTATGTGAGATATGGTGACTCAGACTACTATACAAGTATGCAGAGATTTGCAAAATCTCACCGAACTTGGTTTGAATGAAAATGAACTGAAAAAAAATTAATAAAGTAGGCAGTCGGGCAGTATGCTTTAAGACTCGGCAGTTTGATGGAAGTGTCTAATGGAAGGCTAAAAGCATCGTCCATATTTTTGGGAATGGTCAGAAAATGTTAATTTCCACTCTTCTGTCAGGACTAGGGTTGAGATTCAAATTGATATTTCTGAATTAAGGTATATCAATACTTCAAAAAAAGAAAAAGGTAAGTGAGCATGTTTTAAAAAAGTAAAAAAGGTAAGTTTGCATGTTTCGATATAAAAGAAAAAGGTAAGTAATATAAATATGAAATATGAAGTGAGCATGTTGTTTTTAAGTTAAAAAAGGTAAGTTTGTATGTATTAATGTAAAAGAAAAAGGTGAGTTTGCCCTGTGCATGTTGTCAGTACAAAATAATTAAGTTAATATCTATACTTAAAAGATCAATATAAGGATCGTGTAAGAATGAATATTCTTTCACGCTCAGACCGTGAATTTCCATTCTTACACGGTCTGAGCGTTAAAGAATGAAAATTCTACACCTTCAGTGTAAGAATAAGCATTCTTAAACGCAAGGAAGCGAACAATATTAAAATTGTTCCTCCTGAACCGTGTAATAATGGGAATTCTTACATGATAGCTTTACTACTATGGAACCGAACAGATATGATATAATAAGATTTCTGAACTTTAACATATACGGGATGCAATATAAGAAATTTAAGGTCCATACTTTAAGATAATGTAACGCATAATCATATGAATTTCATCTCTACCTGTATGCATGACCGGCCCCTTGTCTTCCTGCTCGACCAGCGCGCTGGTTTGCCGCGGCCTGACTTGTCCAGGTAACAACAAAGGTCGTAACTCCGGTAACCTAAGTATAATAAAGAATTAATTTCAAACTAAACTTTTTTTAACATATCTCTTCATTGTCGCTATTTTGTTTTTTCTTATTCTACTTCGTAAAAAAAAACAATAAAAATTCACAGCTCTTGTTTTTCTTAAAGAAAGCTGCAAAATTAAAAAGAAAAGCTAAATATTTATTAAAATGACATCCTTGATTTTATCCTTCTGTCTGTCTAGACATCTTTTTGAAATTTTTTCTATCCAACCTTACTATTATGTACAAATTGTATCGGAAACTAGATTTAGTTAAGGTCAACGGTCAATTACATATTCTTTATTATATGAATGTATATCTTAAAAGTCACCAATTGTTATCATCTACCCCAGATCTACCCCAGATCTATCCTAGATCTACCCTAGATTATCCTAGATCTACCCTAGATCTACCCTAGATCTATCCTAGATCTACCCTAGATCTACCCTAGATCTACCCCAAGATCTACCCAAGATCTACCCAAGATCTACCCTAGATCTACCCTAGATCTACCCCAAGATCTACCCTAGATCTACCCTAGATCTACATATCTTTCTATCCAGCTATCCTATTTATCCATCTAACCTATATAAAATGTGCAAATTGTATCGGAAACTAGATTTAGTAAAGGTGAAGAGACAATTACCTATTCTTTATTATATGAATGTATCTTAAAAGTCACCAATTTTTATCATCTACCCTTTATCTACCCTAGATCTACCATAGATCTACCCTTTATCTACCCCAGATCTACCCTAGATCTACCCTAGATCTACCCTAGATCTACCCCATATCTACCCTAGATCTACCCCAAGATCTACCCAAGATCTACCCTAGATCTACCCTAGATCTACCCTAGATCTACATATCTTTCTATCCAGCTATCCTATTTTTCCATCTAACCTATATAAAATGTGGCAAATTGTATCGGAAACAAACATTAGAAAAGGTCAAGAGACAATTACCAATTCTTTATTATAGAAATATATCTTCAAAAGCAACTTTAACGAATTTTGTGTAATCCTCTAGCTACCTATCTTTCTATCTATCTATCCTACAGACAAGTGACAAGATAACAATTACCTTGTCGTAGAACTTAGTTTTTACTTTCCCTGTATCCACGACATATTTAACTCCAGGGATAGTTAAAGACGTTTCAGCAATATTTGTAGAAACTACACATAGCCGACTTCCTGCCGGTGGCGGAGCAAATATACGATTCTGGTTCTCCTGGGATAGTAGGGAGTACAGGGGTAGGACGTGGAGAGGCTGAGAATCTTCCCCGGAGAGAAGTTCTACGTCCTCTTCATCCAGGTCTTCGTCCTCGCTCAGATCTCCCTCACACTCCAGGTCCTCAGGAGGTTGAATCTGATAATTATCTAGATCAAGTTCGGGCAAATCCTCCATTTTCTTCTCCTCCACCTTCTTCTTCTTCTTTTTAGATTTTTTCTCATGAATTGGCGCATTCTTCACCTCTTCGTCGGAGTAAGTTCCCGGGAAGGTTTGTCTAAGTTTCCGAACCAGAACGTTAACCTCCGATTGTCCGGTGAGAAAGACGAGAATACCACCCTCCGGAAGCTCTCGATGTATTTTACAAACCTTTCGATAAGCCTCCGCTAGATAATCCTCCGGCGTTTTCTTGTTAAAGTGTACAGTTACCGGAAACTGACGGGACTCCACGCTAATTACAGGCGGGATGCTCCTGAAAAGGCGTGAGTTTTTGGTAAAATCCTCGACTCTCAGTGTGGCAGACATAATTATAAGTTTAAGTGGACTATTTTTCTTGTGTCGAAGCGGCACAATTCTGGAAAGAAGACCAATGAGAATATCAGTGAACACGGAGCGTTCATGAGCTTCGTCAAGGATAATTACAGAATATTTCGAGAGAAGAAAGTCCTTCTCAATCTCCCGGAGGAGGACTCCGTCCGTCATAAACTTGATCTTAGTCTGGGGGGACACGTTCCCCTGGAACCTGATCTGATACGATACCTCGGAACCAGTTAATCCTAAAGAAAACATAACTTCAGATTTCAAAGGAAATGGTTCGAATAATTGGGTTTGATAATTAATTTTATATTATATCTAGAGAATTATTATACCTAATTCTAAAGCAACCCTGGTAGACATAGCTGTTGCTGCAACTCTTCTAGGTTCTGTTATACCAATCAGTTTACCGTCAGCAGCATAGCCTGCAAATATCAGCTTCCGGTCAAAACTAGCATGGGTGCCCAGCTTTACCTGGAGTTTCCCAATGGAAGTCAACAAAATCAACTTAGAATTTTCAAACGAGGCTAAATACTCCGTTCCTCGATCAAAATCTGAAGCAAATCGGTCCAGTCGTTCATGAGTTATGATCGAACACCCAAACAAACAAACAGAGATTACTACTTTACATTATAATTAACATCCAGGCGTTATTTGACACTAAAGAAAATGTCTTAGTGTGTATAAAACCATTTATAATAATAGTTTTACGGGTTTTAGAGGTTTCAAGAATAATAATATTAATAATATTTTTGAAGATCTAAGAGAGAAAACATGGAAAATTAAGTCTTCATTTTCAACCTTCCCTCACCCCCTCTTTTTATTCTTAATCCCAAGCTTTACTTAATATCCCCCGCAATAACATATATTTTCTTTAATAAAAAGGGGATGATGGAGATGTTATGTTTGATGTAGGGGGGGGGGGAGGGGGTGTCTACCTTCAAGTAGGAGTTTTGAACGTCCAATTTGCGGTTAAACTCAGGATTTACAGATAAAAGTGTAATATGTCTCAAATGAATCATAAAGAAGTTTTCCACAACACTGCATACTCAGTTCAACTACTTTACATAGCCGGTCACTCCCTTTAAACCCTCACAACATATTAAGAGGGGGGTGCAATTCTTAGTTCAGAAAATATCTTTGAGACATTTATCATAAAACTTCAGACGAATCACGTAATGCAAATTATATTTAATTTTTAGGTTATATGATTGATTGATTGTAAATTTAATGTTAATCAACCTGCTTCGTAAAGAAACTGTGGGACCTGAGTTGTTTTACCGGATCCCGTCTCTCCAGATAACACAACCACCTAAAACATAAAATCCACCAAAATTAATAAAAAAATCCGCAATATTTTTTAAAAACATTTTTACAACTCGAATATTAAAATTCTAATTAGTTAGAAAAAAGGAATTGTTGTTGTGTTTATAAGTGACTCTCCATTAAAAATTTTTGATTTTTTACATTTAGAACTCAGGTTGACCCCCTCTTTAGCATAGAATTAATTTCATGTCTGAACTCAAACTTCATGTCTTGAAAGGGTTAAGCCTCGCTGTGGCCTCTATAATGGATTTCACTTTGGATACACTCTCTTTACAGAATTAAAATAAATGAATTTTTACCTGGTTATTATTAATGCATTCCATAATCTGCTGTTCCTCTCCAATTATGGGAAGTTTATTCCTTAAATTCAAGATTTCTAATACCATATCGTAAATTGAAAAAAAAAAAAATTTCTTAATTTTACTCTTGCAGTTTTCTAATTTCAATGAAAAAGCAATTTGGAATAAAATATAATGTGGACATTACTCAAAACTTGAGTTGGTTTGAAAACAAAAACAGGTGCATTTCAAATATGAAAGGTTAAAGATCATTTTTAACATAAAAACTCTAAATTTCACAACAATATTCTCTTACCTTGAATCAATAATAGCTTGAGTACGGTTCACAGGAACAAAAACAACGGAGCTAACTGGTTTATAACTACTAGGAACAACCTTAAATAAACTAATGATAATTTAGGATATTTTTAAGAACCCCCCCCCCCCCCAAGGAAAAAAGATTTCGGGAAGAAATAATGAAAAATTGGACGTAAACTGTCAATTTTTTACCATATTTTTTATTTTATAACCTAAAAATTAGTACTTTCCATCTATATTGAGAACTGTTCTAAAAATTATACCTTATTACTTTCTGAATCTGAATCTGGCGATTTTTCTATAATTTTTTTTTCAACACTTTCTTTTATTTTCGACGTTTCTTTAACATCATTTTCTTCTATATTTGCTGACTTTGATTCTACCGGAGAAGATATTTCTGGACTTTTTTCTGTATCATCCATACCGTCGTCAGAGGACTCACTCTCCGACTCACTGGGAGTATCGAACCCAAGAACGTTGTCTCCGGTTGGGGCAGGTTTCATCTCCGGGTCCATTTTTCTCCTTTTTCTCTTCTTCTTCATTTCATCCTGTATCTCGTGCAAGGGTTTGTCTAGATAAAGGAACGGATTAAATCCTTAAACTAAATTTTTCTAATGTTTCTCTAATGTTGTAGACCTTTGATGCTTCCAACAACTCACTAGTAAAAGGTTTGAAATATCAGGTTGCAAAGATATGGGGATTCGAAAATTAGTGAATTTTCAGTCCTTTACAATAAAAAGAATAATCAACTTATTAATGTTTATCCTTTTATGTGAAAATGTGGTTGGTTCAACAACTTCATATCAAACCTGGAGTTTTGAGAGGAAATTATCGAAATCTCATTTTTTGCAAAATCTCAATATAATTTTAAATTTTTTAACCTTGTGTTTGCATAATCTTAATGGTTTGTTCTTCTTCAACTAGCTGTCGCTTCACGCCCTTCGTCTGGGCGGAGCTCAAGGACTCTAGGCTGGAGAGGAGGGCGGAGTCAACCTGTACCTTGGCCAGGGCCTCCAGTAGTTCGCCACGCCCAGCCTACAAACATGACATCGTCAGATTTTACTTAATTCTAATTTTAATTGACTTTTCTTTCTATTTATGTGATGAAACAAAACTTTCAAGAAACAAAGAAAATCTTTAAAATCAGGAAAATGGAAATTTATTCAGTATATTTATTCTCAAATATAAATGTATTATTAATAATATTTTGAAGTGATGTGATTTTCGTAGAACTTTCGCCAACCAACCCTGGTTAGGCGGGTCCAAACTGCATAGTAAATTGTGATTACTTATTTGTGATATCTCATGCTTTGTAGTTGAATAAATATATGAATATGAATGTAGTTCTTCCCGTTTTTATAATCCGTACTCCGAACCAAAACAAAATTTATTTTTCTCCACAATTCAGATTTTATCTTAAGTTCTCTATTCGGCAATAATTTAGTAAGAAAAAGAAGAGATAACAAAAACAGAAGTGTTAAAATGGGAGATATACGAGAGTTTATTACCTTTTTCTGTTTAATATCGACAATCTTCTCTAAACGCGTTCGTTGTTTCTTGGACAATATTCTTCCAACAGGTTGAATTTCTTTCTCTTTCTACAGATAAGATATATAGACAGGATGATAAACTTTCTATATAGTAATATATATAGCATAACCAGGGTGATAACTTTCTATATAGTAATATATATAGCATAAACAGGGTGATAACTTTCTATATATTAATATATATAGCATAAACAGGGTGATAACTTTCTATATATTAATATATATAGCATAAACAGGGTGATAACTTTCTATATATTAATATATATAGCATTAACTGGGTGATAACTTTCTATATAGTAATATATATAGCATAAACAGGATGATAACTTTCAGTAAAGGGCAATTTTTTTAAAAAGATTTAATGAACAGCGTGATAAACTTTCTATAAAAAAATATACAGAACAGGCTTTTATCTGATGTTTCATCTTGGAGTGAGATGTTTAATATCTGCATTTAATACTGGACTAATAAAAATGAAGACTAGGAAGACGACATTCAAGACATTTCATATAGATACATTGCTGTGTTTCATGTTCATTGGACCATTGGACAATTGCTGTGTTTCATGTTCATTGCACAATTGCTGTGTTTCATGTTCATTGCACAATTGCTGTGTTTCATGCTCATTGGACAATTGCTGAGTTTTAAGTTCATTGCACAATTGTTGTGTACCATGTTCATTGGACAATTGCTTTGTTTCATGTTCATTGGGCAATTGCTGTGTTTCAAGTTCATTGGACAAATGCTGTGTTTCAAGTTCATTGCACAATTGCTGTGTTTCATGTTCATTGCACAATTGCTGTGTTTCATGTTCATTAGACAATTGCTGAGTTTCAAGTTCATTAGAAAATTGCTGTGTTTCATGTTCATTGGACAATTGCTGTGTTTCATGTCTATTGCACAATTTAAAATCACAACTTCAGACTGACAGCCTTTACCTATACCATCTCCAGAGTTCTTAAAATCTTTATCTTCCCTTATACTGCGGTTTCTGAGCTGGGAGCGCGAGAACGTTAGATCCTTGAAACTGATCTTTATCCTTGATTCCAGAAATATCAATCTTTTTCTGCAAAGCAGAGATCTCCCCGGTCTCCAGCGATCCCCCAGGCTGCTCCCGGGCTTTCCAATTATACCGCTTCTTACTCTTACCCATTCTGAATTCTGAAAAATGGGGTTATTTATTTACAATTCTACTAATATGTCCTAGCCGCAGCGCTCGGGTTAGAAATTGTCTTAATCTAACCTAACCCTAAATTAATAAAAAGTAAATAATTTTGCTGAAGAATAAGTGGTCATGTACAAAGTTGATAGGAAGGGGTCCAAAAATCATATACTAGGACGGACCCAATAATTTTGGACTTTTGATGTTCGGCATGGACATGTCGTAAACTAGGATGGTGTATTTTTGGACCTACGCCCATCCCCTCTACTGCCCATCCGACCTACAAGCACGTGGGTTTAACAGCTGTGGTAGGTCCGATGCACTGTAGGTCGGATGGGCACGTTAAAAACAGCATATTGGTGCATTCGACCTATACTTTAAGCTGTCGCATGGACACGTTAGTAGGTCTGATGGGCCTTTTTCGTAGATCAGATGGGCATTTTTCGTAGGTCAGATGGGCATTTTTCGTAGGTCGGATGGGCATTTTTCGTAGGTCGGATGGGCACTTCTCGTAGGTCGGATGGGCACTTTTCGTAGGTCGGATGGGCATTTTTCGTAGGTCGGATGGGCACTTTTCNTTATCTTCTAGTAACGGAAATTAGTTTTAAAACTCCTTAAAAAGGCTTAAACACAAATTCAAAACAATCCACATGCAGGCCAAATTTCCTATATAAGAATTTTCAGCGGCAAATGCGCTGTGATTTTTTTGCACAGTGGGCCAGTTTAGAGACAAAAGTTTTAACCTTTTTATGTAAAAGACGACATTTAAGCCAAAAAAATAAGGCCAATTTCTCAGTCGAGTTTCCCTAGGTAAATTGGAATTTGATTTAAGAGTTAACCGTTGACCTACAATACCCTGGGTAAAATTACACAGGCCTGTATACCCTGAGTTTTACCCAGAGCTTAGAATGCTTTCGCTAGCTCAACCAGAAAATGAAAAAAAAAAAGATAATTAATTGCTTAATTCAGAAAAACGTAAAATAATATACTTATGTAGAAAAAAAACAATTGAGATTTAAAGAGGGAATCTTTCTAAATGTGCATCCGTTCTTTAAATAATTTGAAGGTGTATTGTTCGACCTACGCAAATCCGCTAGAATCTTCTGACCTACGCCAAATCTGAAATACAACATACCCGACCTACTAGCAGGTGGTTTTCCACCTGCTATGAGGACTTGTGGCCGCAGCACCGGGCCCCTAGCCTCGGCGCAGAAATTGTCTTAACCTAACACTCAAATAATACAAAAATTAACAGCTGGCGTAGGTCCGATATTGCAATAGTTCAGAAAGTTAGTTTGTCAGAATTTCAGTGTAAACGATGTAACATTTCCCAAAAGGGATGCCTGAAAAGTTTTAAATATTTTGTTTATTCTGATGAAAATGAGAAATTACGATTTGAAAGAAAATATTTTGTCCTATTTTTTGGTTTCATCAAAATTTAGAACAAAATTTATTTTAAAATTTTTTTACAAGTCCGAAAAGCAACGACAACTTTTTGGCATACCGAAGGTAGAAACTTGTTCATGAAACTCCACACTTAAAACATTTATGGATTTTTAATTTAAGTCAGGAAAAGTCGTCATCCTTCGTCTTTATAGTTAATACGTCATGGAGGAATCGGACAGAATTTAAGATTTAAATGTTAATCCTGACAAAAAGTACCCGCAAATGAGAATAAACAAACCATGAATATCTAATTCTTACTTGATCAGATAAAGCTCTAAAGAGTACTATTTTGAAAATCGGGCATTGCCATCTCTGAAATAGCGCTTACAGCTTCCATTTAATTCACAAATGCGATTTAAATCTCATAATTCCTTCACACTTTCGCTACATTATATTGTTTGACGGCCGCCACCGGAAACAAGCAGTACGTTCTTTTTCTGGATAATTAAATTCTAGTTTATTCTGGCGCAATAATTCTGTTCACAATTTCTGAGCTTTATTCCGACTATAGTATACGTCAGTAAACAATATTCAGTTTGTCCAGGATTCTTGGCGGATTTCAATGTGAAACATTATTCTAGGTGCAGATACAGGTTTGATAGAAGGAAATCTTGCTCTACCAGGCTCCTCGTGCAGATTTTGTCAAACCTTTTTCTAAAATATAAAAATCATAAATATGCGAAAATTTAGGTGATGTACGCGATTAAAATATTAATTATGTAAAGGGAATGGTGGAGTTGGCCTATATGATGTAGAGGGGGGGGCCTGCCTCCATTTTTGGTTCAAACCTCCCAATTTTTTGGGTGCACGCCTAATTAGTGATCGAAATTCCTAAAATCAAATCAAATCAAATTTTAATGACCTCTAATGACCTCCACAAATAGAAAATATTTCAACTTTGGCTTTATGCATATCAAACGAAAGCTATGATATGCATGAAGCCATAGTTAAAACATTTTCATTTTTGGAGGTCATTTAGGTCATTAGAAGGTCAAACTCTGGATGTGTTGCTGCTACTGTATTCCTGGGGTTCCTAGCTTTCGTTTGATATGCATAAGCCATAGTTAAAACATTTTCATTTGTGGAGGTCATAAAGTCATAGTTAAAACATTTTCATTTTTGGGGGTCATTTAGGTCATTAGAGGTCGTAAGAGGTCATTAGAAGGTCAACCACTGGATTTGTTGCTGCTACTGTATTCCCTGGGTTCCTAGCTTTCGTTTGGTATGCATAAAGCCATAGTTAAAACATTTTCATTTTTTTAGGTCATTTAGGTCACTAGAGGTCGTAAGAGGTCATTAATTAGAAGGTCAAACACTGGATTCGAAATATTTTCTATTTGTGGAGGTCATTAGATGTCATTAAAATTCAATTTGATTTTATTTTAGGAATTTCGATCACTAATTAGGCGTGCACCAAAAAATTGGAAGATTTGAACCAAAAATGAAGGCAGGCCCCCCTACATCTAATATGTCAACTCCACCGTCCCCTTTCATTAATTTAAAATTTAGTACTTCATTTCGTCATTCAAATATTAACTGTATAATCAAATCAAATCAAATCAAATCAAACGTTGCTTGGATGACTTAAAGCATCTTTAAGGCGTTCTATGATCCTCGCGTTTATAATAACAAAAATAACTTTTTTTAGCAGATTTAAAGTTGATTTTCAACGTTTATAGAGACTGTAAGCATAATTTTAAGCAAAGATGGCAATGCCCGATTTACAACGGTACCCTTGAAAGCTTTGTCTCATCAATTATGCATTAGCTATTGATGTTTTTGTTTCTAAAAAATGTTTATTTTCATTTGCGATTTCTCTGAGATACTCTTTTGCGCATTTATTTGAAAGCAATGGAGAAGATCACAACAATGAACAGAGTAGAAAAACGAGGACATCTTCCACATGTGTGATCAGATAAAGGGTTTAGAAGTATCGTTGTAAACCGGGCATTGCCATCTTTGCATGAAGGGTCACTTGAAATAACGCTGAACAGTCCCATTAAAGATGATAATTGTTACATTAAAAAAAACAATGATTTTTAACAAAATTTGATGAACTTACTTTTAGCGTCCTTGTTGCTCTCCTTCATGACCTTCGCTTTGAGATGGTCCTTGTAACTGAGGATATCTCCCTCCCACTCTGTCACCTTCTCATTCTCACAGATCCAGATCTTGTCCGCAACCTAAACACATCAGCGGGTAAACATTATTAAGAAATGATTTCAAGGGTGTATACTGTATACTGTATATTTCAACCTTGAGATAAAGAATCCTTATGTAACTAAAAGATAAATACTATCTGGTTAACGGAATACAATAAACCTTGAGATAAAGAATCCTTATGTAACATAAGATAAACCCCCCCTTAAAATTATTTTTTTTCCACCACAAATAATTTAGGCTTGCTTTCGATTTCTTGGTGAATTGGAAAAATAAACAATTTTTATGGAATAAGTAAAAAGAATGAAAAAAGTTGCCTTTTGAAGTCCTATTTTTCCCTGAAGCATCAAAAATCATCTGTAGGTCATAATGAAAATATACACCTTTGAAAAATATTTAAAGATCTGGGAAAAAAATGAAAAATTGGACATCAAAGGCAAGTTTTTTTTTCTTCATAATTTTTACCCAGATTAATTCATTTTCCCCAATTATGAACCTAATTATAATCCCTTTTATCCTAATAATGATCCCTGCAAGGGTAGTTATGATCCCTGCTATCCTAATAATGATCCCTGCAAGGGTAGTTATTATCCCTGCTATCCTAATGATGATCCCTGCAAGGGTAGTTATGATCCCTGCTATCCTAATGATGATCCCTGCTTTCCTAATTATGATCCCTGCTATCCTAATAATGATCCCTGCTATCCTAATATTGATCCCTGCTATCCTAATTATGACCCCTGCTATCCTAATTATGATCCCTGCTATTCTAATTATGATCCTTACTTTTCTAATTATGATCCCTGCTATTCTAATTATGATCCCTGCTATCCTAATTATGATCCCTGCTATCCTAATTATGATCCCTGCTATCCTAATTATGATCCCTGCTATCCTAATTATAATCCTTGCTTTTCTAATTATGATCCCTGCTATCCTAATTATAATCCTTGCTTTTCTAATTATGATCCCTGCTATCCTAATTATGATTTAAAATTCAGTGATGGTGATGGACCAAACCTCTGTAGAGTAAAAAAGAAGATGTTAGTTCCACATTTATTGAAAATATATTTCGGTCTGGGTTGACCCTCGTCAGTTCCTAATTATGATCCCTGCTATCCTAATAATGATCCCTGCTATCCTAATTATGATCCTTGCTTTTCTATTTATGATCCCTGCTATCCTATATATGATCCCTGCTATCCTAATTATGATCCCTGCTATCCTAATTATGATCCTAGTTTACCTGATCAATGAGCCTGAAGTCATGAGAGACAAGGACTACTCCTCCCTCGAACCCGTTGATAGCGTCTGCAAGAGCATCAATGGTTTCCATGTCAAGATGGTTAGTAGGCTCGTCAAGAAGCAACATGTGAGGAACCTGATAATAAAATAGAGTTCATCAAGACTAAAGACAAAATATTAAGTTGATAATAAAGAAAATTTACTTTGACACTTCTGCTCGTTTTCTAGCATTTATTCACAACATAATCTTCAGTTTGTATTTTTTCTAATTTAAGTAAAAGTTAGAAGAAACAATTGTTTAGTTAGAACAACAAGAATTCAATTTTTACCTGCCAGGAAAGCCAAGCAAAGACGACCCTGCATTTTTGACCGTCAGAGAGCTGTTTGATTGGAGCCGTTTGCGCTTTACCAGTGATTCCATACCGACCGATAACCTGGAACATTCATATCATTTGTATGGGTTTTTTGAAGGAAAAGACGATTTTTTTTATTATATATTTCATAATATTTTTTTAAAAAATCATTTTGTTTTATAAATTACTCATTTTTTATACAGTGACATAGAACTTGGGGTTAAGACGAAAAAAGTATGATGTAACTTTCAGTTCTCAGATTTAAAGACGATAAAACAGGGGCGTATATTATATTCTGAAAAAATACACTCCTGAGATAGTCTTAAAATCTTAAATAACTAAGAGAATTTTTTTGAAATTATTTTAAATAAATCGTTTTCAATGAAATTAGAGGAGAAAGATTCACCTTTCTCATTCCGTCTCTGTCCTTGAAGTCCGGGAACTTCTTAAGCATGTAGTCCAGGGGGGACAAATCCATCTCAAGCAGCTCGTGCATGTGCTGGTGGTAGCGGGCCATCTTCAGATGGTTGTGTCGACGCACCATCCCCTAAATATTACGTTTGAAATACCCAAAACATATAGTTTAAAATACCCTAGACGTATAGTTTAAAATACCCTAGACATATATTTTAAAATACCCTTGACGTATAGTTTAAAATACCCTAGACATATGGTTTAAAATACCCTAGACATATAGTTTAAAATACTGTAGACATATAGTTTAAAATACCCTAGACATATAGTTTAAAATACTGTAGACATATAGTTTAAAATACCCTAGACATATAGTTTAAAATACCCTAGACATATGGTTTAAAATACCCTAGAAATATAGTTTAAAATATCCTAGACATAAAGTTTAAAATACCCTAGACATATAGTTTGAAATACCCTAGACATAAAGTTTAAAATACCCTAGACATGTAGTTTAAAATACCCTAGACATATAGTTTAAAATACCGTAGACATATAGTTTAAAATACCCTAGACATTTGGTTTAAAATACCCTAGACATATAGTTTAAAATACCCTAGACATATAGTTTGAAATACCCTAGACATATAGTTTAAAATACCCTAGACATAAAGTTTAAAATACCCTAGACATAAAGTTTAAAATACCCTAGACATATAGTTTGAAATACTCTAGGCATACAGTTTGAAATAACCTAGACATACAGTTTAAAATACCCTAGCTTTTCAGTTTTTACACTGGAAGCCTAGTAAAACAAAAAGCAATAATAAAAACTGAAAATTTATCAATTCAGAAACAATTTCTTTACCTCAGTTGGGATTAAATCTCCATAGATAAGTTTAAGCAGGGTTGATTTTCCCGCTCCGTTAGGTCCAACTAGAGCCAACCTTGTATCCAGATCCATACCAAACTCAAGGTTCTTGTAGATATACGGAGTATCTTCGCTATATCGGAAACTTACGTTCTAAACATTAAACAGGTCTATGGTCTAGAACAGATAATGCAGATAATAAAAAAAATCTTCACAATAAAATTAATACAGTGTCGTATTTTAAGTTTTGTGTTATGCTTAGTCAGTGTTTTTTTTATGAACTTAATTGAGATAAAAAATCCTTATGTAACTAAAAGATAAATACTATCTGGTTAACGGAATACAATAAACCTTGAGATAAAGAATCCTAATGATCTATAAGATAAATACTATCTGGTCAACGGAATACAATAAACCTTGAGATAAAGAATCCTAATAATCTATAAGATAAATACTATCTGGTCAACGGAATACAATAAACCTTGAGATAAAGAATCCTTATGTAACTAGAAGATAAATGCTATCTGGTTAACGGAATACAATAAACCAGCCACAACAATTTCTCGTCCGAGCCACATTCTCCTCATTTTCTGGTCCGAGTCACATTCTCCTCATCCTTGTCCTTCCAGTATTATTTTTTTAACGTGTCTAAGTCTCCAAGTTAAAACTATTTTTTAAGAATCAGGCAACGTTAGGGAATAACTTAAATATTGAATTCTTGTAAATCGGAAAAAAACGTTTCAATTGAATTCAAGTTTTGAGTTGAATGTCTTTGAAAGTGTTCACCTTTTTTACGCTCATTTTCAGACTTGCCCGCTGTAGAATGCCGCAAATAATTAAAGTAAAAACAATAGAATTTTTCCGGGTGTTTACATGGGGAAAATCATTGGCAGTGATTTGCCATATACTTTGCTATTTATTTTATATCGCGTATTGGTTAGCCATTATAGAGGCAGAAGAGATTTAAGTTTTACTTTAACAAAGTTTGACTTCATTCTTATGGCTTTAAAGATTCCAACTAGATGTAATCATTGCAATCCATACTGTATGCCCTAACGTGGCCAGATTTTTAAAAAATAGTTTTATCTTGGAGAATTAGACACGTTAAAAAAATAATACTGGAAGGACGAGGATTTCGAGGTGACTCGGACCAGAAAATGAGGATAATGCGGCTCGGACTAGAAATTGTCGTGGCTGGCCTTCCTTCCCTCGATTAAATACATTTCGTCCACACATTTTAGTATTATTCCAGTAAACACATTTTAGTAGTATTCCAGTAAACACATTTTAGTAGTATTCCAGTAAACACATTTTAGTAGTATTCCAGTAAACACATTTTAGAAGTATTCCAGTAAACACATTTTAGTAGTATTTCAGTTAACACGTTTTCCAGTAAACACATTTTAGTAGTATTCCAGTAAACACATTTTAGAAGTATTCCACTAAGGCACTAAACACATTTTGTAATATTCCAAAAAACAATTGCAATCGAAAACCTCTAGTTTTGAGGATTTCCAAATTGTGGTGTACTATTTGAATACCTTTAAATTAGCGGAGAAAAGAAGATGTTTATTAAAAAAAGGGCATCTATACGATTAAAAGGTAGATCACATAATGAAACGTTCAGAAGTCATAAAACCTTCGAGTTGTCACATATTTCTCATGAATAAAGAGACACCCATTAGTATAACTATATTTATTGATTTATGGATCTAACCTGAACCATGATGACTGGCGGGGGTATCTCCCCGCAAGAGTAGAAGCAGAAGGAGACGGAGACCTCGTTCGCCACCTTCTCTGTGAGACCTCCGGCAACCATCTTCGCCAGGGTCTTCTCCTTGGACTGGGCTTGTCTTGCCAGTTTAGCGCTTCCGTGACCAAACCTCGCGATGTAGTTCTAGAATAAACATTCATTTAACAAATCCTCCAAAGAAAAAAAAATTAAGGGAGAAATGCGGGAAAACGTGTTAAAAAGAGGGGGGGAAAATACTTAAGATAAGAAAGAAAATAAATTAGTTGAGAAATTATTTTTTTTGTAGTTACCATTTGATCCATAGCAGCTTAAGTTTATGGACATTGGTTGTGATGTTATTATGACCATCAATCTAACAGGATCAGGGGTCAGGTTCGCGCGCGCACCAGAGAAAAATTATTCCCCAAACCGATTAAAGAATCCGGTGCTTAGAAACTGTAGACACAAATCTCAATGTCTCAAATCTGAAAATCAAAGCTATCAGGTGTTTACCTTCATATGAGATATTTGATCCTGCTCCCATTGATATTGTTTCATCTGACTTTCCTCCAACTCCATCCTGGTCCTCATGAACGTATCGTAGTTTCCACCATAGAACTTCAGCTTTCTGCAGTACATATTTATTTTAGTTAACAATATTCTGCAGTACATATTTATTTTAGTAAACCGTATTCTGCAGTACAAATTAATGTTAGTGAACAGTATTCATTTTAGTAAACAATATAATGCAGTACATATTCATATAAGTAAACAATATTCTGCAGTACATATTTATGTAAGTAAACAATATTCTGCAGTACATATTCATGTTAGTATACAGTATTCTGCAGTACATATTCATATTAGTAAACAATATTCTGCAGTGCATATTTATGTTAGTAAACAATATTCTGCAGTACATATTAAGGTTAGTAAACAGTATTCTTCAGTACATATTAATGTTAGTAAACAATATTCTGCAGTACAAATTCATGTTAGTAAACAGTATTCTGCAGTACACATTTATGTTAGTAAACAATATTCTGCAGAACATATTCATGTTAGTAAACAGTATTCTGCAGAACATATTCATGTTAGTAAACAGTATTCTGCAGTACATATTCATATTAGTTAACAGTATTTTGCAGTACATATTTATGTAAGTAAACAGTATTCTGCAGTACATATTTATGTTAGTAAACAATATACTGCAAAACATATTCATGTTAGTAAACAGAATTCTGCAGTACACATTTATGTTAGTAAACAATATTCTGCAGTACATATTAAAGTTAGTAAACAGTATTCTGCAGTACATATTAATGTTAGTAAACAATATTCTGCAGAACATATTCATGTTAGTAAACAGTATTCTGCAGTACACATTTATGTTAGTAAACAATATTCTTCAGTACATATTTATGTTAGTATACAGTATTCTGCAGTACATATTTTTGTTAGTAAACAATATTCTGCAGAACATATTCATGTTAGTTAACAATATTCTTCAGTACATATTTACTTAAACTGGCATGATCTTACTTTTGGTCAAAATGCATAATATTGTTACACACTCCGTTCAAAAAGTCCTGAGAGTGAGAAATCAGCACTAGGATCGTAGGATAGGTCTGAAATAGAAATATCATAATTAAATCCCTATTTAGAGCAAAAATCATAATGTGAAAATCTGCGAGACATAATTTTGAAAATCTTTGAAAATCAAACATGAAAATCCACAATCTTCTGAGTTCAGATATCATTTCTTTACCTTAAGTTCTTCTTCAAGCCAGACACAGGCTTCCAGATCCAGATGATTAGTCGGTTCGTCAAGCAGAAGTAAATGGGGTTTAATAAACAAGGCTCTGAAATATACATAATGCTGATAATTTAAAGTTGATTTTTTTTAAAGGATTGGCATTAAATTAGGATTTTTGTTCAAATATTGTCAATTTTGTTTTCAATGCAAATTCCACATTTTCAACGTCAAATGAATATATCATCCATTCACGTTCACATTCCCTTTAATTGATAATAATTTACCTCGCAAGTGCTACCCTCATCCTCCATCCTCCGGAGAAATCTTTACATTTCTTATTCTGCATAGCTGACGTAAACTGTAGACCACTGTACACACAATACTCATTTTTACAAATTCAAAACTTTATAACTCATAAACGTATTGCAGTGATAAAGAAAAAAACTAGATTTTTTAAACGAGTGAATCGTCCCTAAGTAAATGAGATGCTTTGGATTCGGCAGTATCGGCTCCTAAATCGTCCAAACGTTCATAAATCTGAAAATAAAAATTAATTACGCTTCCAAACAAATCTATTCCATTAAGGGAGAAACAGTTGTTATCTAGTTCCAAAAAGAAGAGTGTGGAGGGGGTCACAAAAAAGAAGGGGGTGGGGGTCTGGGGGGTCCCAAAAAAGAGGGGAGGATCAAAAAAGTAAATACTGTAACTTACCGTCATAAGATACTCCTGACTGTCATCATCTTCACGGGTGGCAAGTTCTTCAGCTAGTTTCTCCAGTCTTATCCGTTCCTCATCAGCTTCCATTACAGCCTGGAGAGCAGTTTTCTCACTAGCTGGAACCTCACGATCTTAACAAATATTCAAATAAATATTAGAGAATTAAAATTGCTTTAAGAGAGAAGGGGGGAGGGAGCATTTTAATCCCTTTTAAGTCTTCACCCGAAAATTGTTTTATATCAATTAAGAACTAAGAATGATTTTTTCTGTTCAACAATAATAGATTATATAACACCCCCCCCCCCTCTGCCCCGCGACTTGTTTAATAACTTACCTAGATAATAAATATCGATATGATCCTGGACTGGAACCTCTCGGTTTCCAAGAACCGCGAGCAGAGCGGATTTCCCGCATCCGTTGACTCCGATCAATCCATATCTGTTTCCTACAGACAACTCGAGCTTAGTATCCTAGAATATTTTCTGTTTAGATTAAGTTCATAATTAAGACCCTCTAGGAGCTGATCCCTGCTGAGAATATCCCTGAGCTGAACCCTGCTCAGAATATCCCTGAGCTGAACCCTGCTCTGAATATCCTGGAGCTGAACCCTACTCTGAATATCCCTGAGCTGAAACCCTGCTCTAAATATCCCGGAGCTGAAACCCTGCTCTAAATGTCCCGGAGCTGAAACCCTGCTCTAAATATCCCGGAGCTGAACCCTGCTCTGAATACCCCAGAGCTGAACCCCTGCTCTAAATATCCCGGAACTGAAACCCTGCTCTGAATTTCCTGGCATATATTTGTAAATCTAACCTGTAAGAGCTCAGCCCCGTAGAAGGTGACGGAGAAGTTATCTATCTTGATATCTCTAGCCTGAGGATGGATTCCAAGGACTCCAGTGCAAGCTCGAGCTTCAGCTGCTAGCCTGAAATCAACAATAAATATCTATAAAAAATGAATTTTAATTTTGTCAAACATAAAACCCTTTTCCAGTTTTTCATATCCATTTAAATTTTACAGTAAATAGACTAAACAGTGCTGGCCCAAGCAGCCTCTAACTGTTTTAGCTAATGTATTATCAAAAAAAGAAACTAAATTTGCCAGTTAAAATCGAGTTAGCTTTACCAGTTCCCTTTTAGTCAGATAAAGATAATTAACAACCACAGTCCTATTTCAGTTTTTTTAATTCAATTTTCAAGAAATTAATTAAATCAATGAACTGAACAACTCTAAACAAATATATAATTGCTTCAAGAAACTGTAAGCATATTTTTAAGCGACCGGCCCTCCAAGCACAGATGACAATACCAGATTCACAGTAGTACCCTTGCAACCTTTCAATCTGATCAAATATGTGGAAGATATTGTCGTTTTTCTAGGTTTTATGTCTGATAACTATAATATGTTTTCGTGCAGTAGAAATGCGCAAGTCACTTTTCGGATTTATAAACATTAATATCTGATTTATACTGTATCAGCCAACGCTTTTAAGAGTACCGTTGTAAATCGGACATTGCCATCTTTGTCCAGAGCTTCACATAATATTACGCTTCGAGTCTATTTAACCCGTAAACTTATTTCAGTTTAATGACTCTGTTCAATGAAATTACCTTGCTTCGTCCTGGAGGCGGAGACAGAGCTCCTCCTCGTAGGTGAGAGGAACATCAGGAGTTTTTTCTTTAGAGACTCCGTTCGTGATCACGATGGTGGAGGCAACCTCCTCGGGTTCATCTCCAGCATCCAACTTCTTTCCACCCTTAGCCTGGTTTAAGAAATGTGAAGAATTTGGTAGATTTATGGGTTCTAAGGGGGATTTTAAAAAATTTCTTAATTGGAGAAAAGATTGCGATATTTTCCGAGTAAATTCATAACCATTTACCGTTTACAAGAATTACAGTTTATTTTAAACTTTTTCAATTGATTTGCTTCGGATTTACTAAAGATTAAAGATTTACTAAAGATTAAAGCAAAAAGGGAAAGTTAAAAGAATTGTAAATAAAAAAATCTGAATATTTTTGGCTATTTCTGCCATTTGATCCGCATTTAGTCCACTGAGGTTATTTCTCCATTTCTAGAAATTATAATCACGGATTTAGGAAAAATAAATGATTTCAGAGGGAAAAAATAAATGTTTGGGAGTTGAGGTATCCTAAAAGTTATAAAACTTGCCAAATTGTGCCCCCCCCCCCTCTTTACAGTGCGTGGAACGAAATCGTACCAAATATATACCTAGAGCTGGGAACTTTAGTGTTAAAATACTCATAATCCTGATCCCTTGATCTCGATATCCACTGTAAACACTTAATTTTGGGATCTTAAAAACTTTACCTTCCCATTTTTTTATTTTAGTAATTCCTCCCTGGATTCATGCTCCCTTTAACCCCTGACATGGTACAATTCCCATGCGGGAAATTGAATAAAGATTTAATTGATCTGGAGATTAACAAAAGAATTGATCTCGACATCCACTTGCCAGCTCTGATTAATCTGATAATACTTCACCTTGGCCAACTCCTTCTTCTTCTGGGCTCTCTTCTTCTGATGATCTGACGGCATATTCTTTTTTAGTTTAGAAACAGCTCAGATGTTTCACGACAATACTTCTACTTCTGAAATATACAATTTCAATAAATATTTCTTTTACAGATATCAAAACAAGGTTTTAAATACAGAAGCCAAGTCCTAGATTTACGATGGATTGAACACAGATCCAGAAGTTAATCTTCAGTTAATAGTGTGGTATGCCTAATTCACAAAAGTACCCCTGTAAACTTTTATCTAAGCAAATATCATGAAGTTAGCCATGTTATTTAACCTGAAACTTGTTAATTCCTAATTCTGGTTCCTCTAAATAGACTTGCGGATTTATAGAGCAGAGACAACAGAAATAAATTGTCAGAATCAGAGTAAAACCTTTAAAAAATGACAAATACCTTTGTTAATCATGCATGCACAGTTTAATTTCTAAGACAGTCCATTTAGTTAAAATAATTATGTAAACATGGTTTTTGTGTTTTTAAAATTCACATTTAAAATCAAATAGAATAAATTATTTCATAAACTATTGTTCATTCAGTAGCAGCCCCACTGCTGCTAGAAGCGTCTTTAATTATCTGAGAAAGGTTGGTTGAGAGCTGCTGTTGGTTGGATTGAAGAAGCTGTAGGGTTCTCTGCTGCTGATGTCCAAGTATAGAGAGCAGCTCTCCTCTACTCTGGTCTAGGGAGGGTAGTTTGACCATCTCCTGGAGTTCTCTCCGGGACAGGATTCGGTTTTCGACCACACACCCGATTAATGTAAATTCAGGAACTTTACGTTCGTATTTTAAAAGTTTAGCCGGGTCTACTTCCGGTGAGAAGAGGATTGGTTGAAGGTTCATATCTCCCGGGAACTTGAACCAAAATTGTAAACAGTTCTCCCATTGAGTTCCCTGCAGCCCTGCCTTGCCAACCCTATGGTGATATTCTTTCAATTCCATTCCAACCCGCCGACCATTCTAGTTAAGATAAAAAACCATTAAAAACCGTTCATTTTCAAATTTAAATATTATCTTTAATACTTTAATGTAGGATCATCTGAATATTCAATATTTCTGTAAGATCTTTAACAAAAGTTTATTTTTCGCATTGAAGGGCACAGGCAGATCAAAAATCAGAGGGGGGGGGGTCATACGAGATTTAAGCATTTTTTCAGGATATAGCATTTAGCATTTTTCAGGATATACAACCATTTAGTATTTTTTAGGATAAACCATTTAACATTTTTTCAGGATATACCATTTAGCATTTTTCAGGATATACCATTTAGCATTTTTCAGGATATACCATTTAGCATTTTTCAGGATATACCATTTAGCATTTTTCAGGATATACCATTTAGTATTTTTCAGGATAAACCATTTAACATTTTTCAGGATATACCATTTAGCATTTTTTCAGGATATACCATTTAGTATTTTTTTCAGGATAAACCATTTAACATTTTTCAGGATATACCTTTTAGCATTTTTTCAGGATATACCATTTAACATTTTTTCAGGATATACCATTTAACGTTTTTCAGGATATACCATTTAGCATTTTTCAGGATATACCATTTAACATTTTTTCAGGATATACCATATATCTTTTTTTCAGGATATACCATTTAGCATTTTTCAGGATATACCATTTAGCATTTATAAAAACATGTAGCTTTTTCAAGATAATGCATTTTGAGGACATAAAAGTTTCCAGAATAAAAAGTGTAAAAAGGGTAAATATGTGTTTTTATAAATTTTCTAGCAATAAAAGGTCACTTTACCTGCCAGGCAATTCTAAACTTATTTTTCTTCAAAGGATTAGCGTGGAAAAATGCAACCATTTTGCTTCTTTCAAACATTTCAACCATCTCCCTGCAACAAGAGAAAATAAATATAAAAAAAGAACAACTTTGTTAAAAACCGATTTATCCATTTTAGCTTTTTTTTGACAAGCTGTTTGATATGAATTTTTTTTTAAAAAGTTCACCACAGAAGTTGCGTTTTTTAGGGTTTTAGTCGCTAAATTAATGATTTTTAGTAGAAAATAAATTCATTTTGGGGGAACGTACCAAAGCATCTAAACTCATTAAACATATACACCCCTGACTACCTGACGTAAAATATTTCCAGTTGATTAACTTCATTTAAATACATTTCTCGTTCATCTTCTTTCCTCGCGTATTCACAAGACCTGGAGTAGTAAATATAGATTCTATCCAGAGCTTTTAAAGTTTCAAACCACCAGAACTCACAACTTCAGAATTGGACACTTTAGATTTCTGTTTATTGGTCCACTCTTTTATCCTTCTTTTAAGATATCCATTATCCATACTAAAAGAGTTATCACATTAAATGGCACAAAAGTTCCAATTTCCCTTTTTCTCATCGAATATTCGGGATTTTGCATACGTCACTCTGATTAGTTGAATTTTAGACAATTTCCTGGCTACAAACTAGAGATTAAATTAATCCTAAGATTGACATAATAAGGAAATCAAGCATTGATCTCGATATCCACAATTCAAAAGTTTTCAGCTCAGAGTTAGCAACTTTAAATTGAAAGAATAAAATAAACCTAATACATCTAAAGTTTGTAGCACAACAGGGTTTCCCATTTTTTGATTTTGCGTAATTAGTAAATCTCAGTAAATGCATCATAACTAAAATTTAACTACGTTCCTTTCTTAAGAAATACTCTGCAGGGGGAGTTCTACCTATCATTATTTAATTTTCCTACTCGGTTTTATTACATTACTCATATGAGTCAAGCGAATTAAGTATTTTATTAATTTTTCAAGACTTTCTTTAATTTTTATGAAACCGAGTTTACGTATTTGAGGGATTACGGAGACAACTTACCCCCCCCCCCCACACCCCAATATCCTATTAACCCCACGTGGGGTCACGACAGATTATAAAACAGCTGTGTTTCTTTACATATACAATTAGAAAAAATATTTACCTCCAAACATCATCGATCAGATCCTCTGTGTCCCATCTAGGTTTACTAATCTCTAACATGGTTTGACGGAACCAGGTTGCACGTTTAGGTTTCTGTATTCTCACCTGACGAAAGCGAACCTAAAATAATACATCGTCGTATGAGACCCTAGATTTGAAGAGGACCTGATTAGCAATGTTGTCCTTGAAACCATTATCTGATAAACCTGTGTAATTCCCACAATTTCTCCATTGTTTCTACCGTAAGAAATACGCAAGTCACTTTTACAGAAAACCCAGAACTGGATAATACTGACATTTTAAAGATAAAACAAATATATCTCGTTCCATCATTATCAGACAAAGCTTTTAAGGGTACAGTTGTGAATCAGACGTGCGATTGAATACAGTAGTAAGCGATAATATCGATACAATGATGACGACTTTTTATCTCAGTGTTGATTGTTAACAAGCTGTTTTCGAATAACAAGTTTACAAGCAATTAAAGAGAAGCTTTTTTATTTAATAGCTTCTCTTGAACTCTATGTTTAAGCGAATATATGCTGGATTTTGATCAAAATTTAAATAGAAAGTTGACTTCGTTGTTTTGATATTATCGCCTACAACTGCAAGATAGAGGTTCACTTGAAATACCGTTTACTGAAAATTTAGATAATTTGTGTAGAATTTTACTTCAGAATGATGAAAAAAATCCTCGTTATTTTAGAGAACGGCTTTTACGTCAGAGAAGAATGTCTTATTTATATTTCTCAATAACGTAAACTGGTCATGATATACCATATATCTTTTTTTCAGGATATACCATTTAGCATTTTTCAGGATATACCATTTAGCATTTTTCAGGATATACCATTTAGTTTTTTTCAGGATATACCATTTAGCATTTTTCAGGATATACCATTTAACCAAAAATCGTTCTCTAGTGACCGACCCACGGCATCATTTATATTGACTTAAAAAATGGCCGAACGATCAATTTAGATAAAAAAAATGCCCAACAACTATCTATAATGAGAAATTTATTCCAGTAAAATTTAATAACGGCATTCTGATTGAATCCAATGCTACGGAACTAACAAAATCTTAAAAATATCGTTGAAAAAAAATCCCCGTTATTGCGTCATAATACGGTAACAAAACTGAATCACAAATAAAAGGCAGAACGAATCTGTTTTCATGTTTATACAATCAATAAAACTTTCCTACACAGATTGGAAATAAAATAGCTACGAGAAATCAAATACTTACTTAAATTTTAGAGAGAGAAAATGGATGTTTTATATTTCAATTTCACAAGGAACAAAGTACAACGAGAAATGTCCACGTTTGCGCGGCAATCCGACTCTCCCTGTTCACTGTGGGCTAAGATGCATAAATAAAGGGACATTGCTATCAAAGTACATTTACAATAGAATTTGACACATGCACTGAGTGGAAAATGTAAATGTTAAATTTGAAACCAGTTTTGGATAATTAAAAAAAAATTAGCATCAAAAATTGAAAATCCTTTTCACTAAAAATATGGAAGACGACTTATTACGTACGTTTGAATTTTGATGCTATATATCGTTTGCACTACTGTATTTTTCGACCTACACATATCCGCCATACTCCACTTCTGACCTACGCCAAATCCGCTATACTACACATCCGACCTACTAGCACGTGGTATTACAGCTGCTATATGGACTTGTGGCGCAGCGCTCGGCCCCCTAACCTGTCCTAGCCGCAGCGCTCGGCCCAGAAATTGTCTTAACCTAACCTATCCCTCAAATAATACTAAAATAAACAGCTGGCGTAGGTATGATATTGCAGTAGGTCGGAAAGTTAGTAAGGTCAGAAGTTCAGTAGGGGGGATATGTTGCGTATAGACGAGATGTAACATTACCAATACTTATACATTTGCACTAAAGTCAGCTATGATTAGTTTAGTAACCGGTTTGTAGTACGATGAAACATTGCAAATGGACAAATTCTAGCGCATTGGACAAAATTTTTTATTTTCCCGGCGCAGGCATATTTTATTTTCGCGCCAGAAATATTTTAGTTCAAATGATCGTATATATAGTCAATGGAATGCCAAAATAATTTGTTCAAAACTTCAAACGCACAATTATTTTTTTCTGTAAATCTAAATATTAGTGCAATTGAACGTTAGTGCAAATAAACATCCCCTACAAAAAATGTGTTCAAAATTAATCTATAAATTTGTTTTTATGTAATAATATTAGCGCAAGTGAACGTTATAGTGCTTAATGAGTATTAAATATGCTGCAGTTTCAAATTTTTACAAAAAATAGTTTAAATGATCAAAAAATATTTCACCATGGACATGAAAATAATTCAGATGACCTAAGGCCAATTTAAAACTAAAGATGTAAATATATAGCTCCAAAATCATAATTGGGCCGTTATGTCATTATTTCCGTGCGTCTGTGCGCCTTCCAAAATTCAAATAAAACAAATTCAATTCTCAATAAAAAAAAGTTTCTGAGTTTCAAATGCACAGGTTTGATTTAACTTCACAAATATGATATTATATTAAGCAAAATCATGTTTTCTAGGCGCCGCGCAAAAAAACATGAAAAGCACACGTGCGCCTGTGTGTTAATCCAATCTTTCAATTCTAATTGTTAAAAACTTTGATTTCATGTCATAAATATTTAGCAAAATCATGTTTTCTTGTGCGTTTACATTCAAATTTTTTTTTAACTGCAAAAAAAATTCTTTTTATTTGTTTTAACCGTGCGCCGCACATAAACGCATGAAAATGACACATGATAAAAAAAATCAGGACAACATCTTTTTTCTGTGCGCTTATGCGTTTTCATGTGCAAAGATTCATCTCTCTCAATAAGTTTTATTCTATTTGGTTTTTGGAAAAGGTTCATCTCTCTCAAAAGTTTTTTTTTATTTCTTTAAAAACCGTGCGTCTCTGCGCCGCGCATAAACGTATGAAAATGACAAATGATAAAAAAGTTAGTAATACATCTGTTTTCTTTGCGCCTATGCGAATGCCCTTCAAAGTATTTCTAGCAGGTCGATTGGGATACTTAAAACACAAAAATAAATAAAAGTTTGCTCGAAAATTGGAAAACTAATAAATAATGATAAAAAATTTATTTGATTTTATGCATTATACAAGCAATCAGCAAAATTTAGAGTTCTGTTTAAGGATAGGACATGTGTTTCAGTTTTGTTTAATGCTTGGACATGTCTCTTGTATCTGTTTAATGATAGAACATGTCTCTAGTTCTGTTTAAGGATAGGACATGTCTCTAGTTCTGTTTAAGGATAGGACATGTCACTAGTTCTGTTTCAGGATAAGACATGTCTCCACTTCTGTTTAAGTTACATGTCTCTAGTTCTGTTTAAGGAAAGGACATGTTTCTAGTCCTGTTTAACAATAGGAAATGTCTCTAGTTTTGTTAAAAGATAGGACATATCCTTAGTTCTGTTTAAATATAGGACATGTATCTAGTTCTCTGTAAGGGCATGTCTCTAGCTCTGTTTAAGGATAGGGCATGTCGTTAGTTCTATTTAAGGAAAGAACATCTCTCCAGTTCTGTTTAAGGATAGGACATGTCTCTAGTTCTGTTTAAGGATAGGACATGTCTCTAGTTCTGTTTAAGGATAATACATGTCTCTGGTTTTGTTTAAGGATAGGAAACTCTCTAGATCTATTTTAGGATAAGAAACTTCTGTTGTTGTGTTAAAGGATAGGACATGTCTCTAGTTTTGTTTAAGGATAGAACATGTCTTTAGTTCAGGTAAAAAATAGGACATGTCTCTAGTTCTGTTTAAGGATAGGACATGTATCTAGTTCTGTTTACGGATAGGAAATGTCTCTAGATCTGTTTAAGGATAGCACATGTCTCTAGTTCTGTAAAAGGATAGATCATGTCGTTATTACCATTAAAGGATAGAACATGTCTCTTGTTCTGTTTTAGGATAGAACATATGTCTCTAGTTCTGTTATGGATAGGAAAGTTTCTATATCTGTTTAAGGATAGCACATGTCTCTAGTCCTGTATAAGGATAGGTCATGTCTCTATTACTGTTAAAGGATAGAACATGTATCTTGTTCTGTTTTAGGATAGGACATGTCTCTATTACTGTTAACGGATAAAACATGTCTCTAGTTCTGTTTAAGGATAGGACATTTCTCTAGTTCTCTTTAAGGATAGGACATGTCTCTAGTTCTCTTCAAGGATAGGACATGTCTCCAGTTCTGTTTAAAGATAGCACATGTCACTACTTCTGTTTAAGGATAGGACAAGTCTCTAGTTCTGTTCAAGGGCATCTCTCTAGTTCTGTTAAAGGATAGGACATTTTTCTAGTTCTGTTTAAGGATAGGACATGTCTCTAGTTCTGTTTAAGGAAAGGAAATGTCTTTTAGTTTTGTTTCAGTATAGCACATGTCACTACTTCTGTTTAAGGATAGGACAAGTCTCTAGTTCTGTTTAAGGGCATCTCTCTAGTTCTGTTAAAGGATAGGACATTTTTCTAGTTCTGTTTAAGAATAGAACATGTCTCTAGTTCTGTTTAAGGTTAGGCCATGTCATGATGTCTCTAGTTTTCTTTAAGGGTATGACATGTCTCTAGTGTTGTTTAAGGATAGCACATGTCTCTAGTTCTGTTTAAGGATAGCACATGTCTCTAGTACTGTTTAAGGGTATGACATGATTCTAGTTTTTATTAAGGATAGGACATGTCTATAGTTTCTGTTTCAGGAAAGTGTAGTATCCTGGACTGTTCCTGATATATGGATGTCGGAGCGGGCAGTACAGCACGAACCTTAGAAGCATAGACACGTAAATATAAACGTCAGTCTATTCCTATAGTTCTGTGCTCGGTACTACCCACTAAGTCTATTTAGATCACTGTATACAGAACCTGATTGGACGAGTTACTTCAAGAAGAGATGAATCAAATATCCGTGATAGTAAGCAATCCAGCTTATGTAGCTGAAGCTGCCCTGGATGTAGATGGAGTTGATCCGGCAGACCTTGTTCACCTTGTCAGTGGGAATGCTCCCATTGTTACTGCCCCAGCCTCGGAGGATGGAGACGTAGCTGAGGACAGAGTAGAGGATGAGAATGAGGACGATGATATGGAGGATCTGGCGAAGATACTGTGGGAAGTCCTAGATAACCTGGAGGAACTTCTTAAGGAGGTTAAAGACCTTCTGTCCCCCCATACCTGGGGGCGCAAGCATCCAACTGCCCCCTGTGGATCCACGTACTGATGTAAGGGACACAGAGAGGGCTTGGGAGTGTAACCTTCACCCTGAATCAAGCAGAGATGATATCAGTGCATGGTTGTACAACCAGGTGGTAGATATGCTCCTGATTATGCAGGAGCGGGTCAACCAGCAAACCTGGAATAAAGGAGATGAAGATCTAATTGATGGACTTGGCTAATATATTGGTCATGCACTTTAGACTTGGTAGATTAACTGAGAAAATGCTCAAAGATCAAGCTAATGGACCTAACATGTAAAAGGATCATGGCTGATTATCAAACCATCTATTTATCTTCCTATTGTGATTATATATGCATTTATGAAACTATGTGAAATAAATGTACTTAATCAGTTTAGAATGTATTTATCAATAAGGGTGTTATAACATTGCAAAGATAAGTAATTATACAAAGGTTGATCCAAATAGGGAGTTGACCCGATGTATAGTGTTATCAGGTTGCAAAGATAAGTAATTATATAAAGGTTTAATCCAAATAAGGAGATGACCTGATGTATAATGTTATCAGGTTGCAAAAATAAGTAATCGTATAAAGGTTTGATCCGAATAGGGACATAACCCGATGTATGATGTTATCTAATGGCAAAGATAATTGATCACATAAAGGTTAGATAACCTGAAGTTAAATGAGGGTCTGTACTATATTATTCGGGTTTCTCCAAACCCCTACCACCCTATGTGTATAAATTTGTAATTTCATATGACCGTAATTATTTAAAAGAAATATTTTAAAATAAATTATACTTGAAAAAACTTAAGTACAGGACACGAAACTCAGTTGTCTTAACATATCGATTAAAAGACTAGATGAAAAACAAACACAGAAAAACTGTCAGAAAATCCGCGTTTGAGGCTTTCAAGAAAATACTGTATATAGCAAGATAGTTTATCAGTATCAGATTAGTATCACAATGAAGCTTGCACACAGATGAAAGGTTGATTTGGTACGGGGAAGATTGGTACTGTCTGACGTAATAGTTTTTAAGACAAATTGCAATTCACAATGATGTGAAACTCGCCAGTAACAAATGTCATCCCAACAGTTTAAGGTCC